ATACACACTAATACTTATACATCTGAAACTGCCTATATCCTACTTTTATTAGCTATCAATAATGCATTTAGCTACAGTGCATTATGCTCCAACAAAGACATATTTCGACATCAGCTGTTGCTATAATTCCCAACTAGTTTGATTATTAGGTTCTTTTTAAACATGATCATGGATACAGTGGATTTGTAATTTTGGGCCTTTACATGCTACGCTAAAGCTTTGTCAATTTACCCTTCTGGAGGTCTTTCTGTCTGGTGTTGTGCCCATGAGCAATCTGTCCTCGGGTCTAAACACAACATCGTGCGTCATACCTGCATTATGGAAGAGGTTGTTTCAGAAAAAAAAAATCAGGTAAAATTGGACCAGGATTTTGCTATAATGGCATTCTTCTGAAGGGTTTGCAGCTTCAGGAGAAAACCAGATAAATATGGTAATGATTGAGATGGGGTTCAAAAAGAGATGGGTCGAGGATCAAAATGGGCTGAAAATGTCTTAGTTTATAAAAAAAAGGCACTCTCAGGCGGGTCGGACTGCCCTGCTCAGTCTGAGTCCTGGATCTACAGCCTCAGTCCTCGTTCTACAGTCTGAGTCCTGGATCTACAGCCTCAGTCCTCGTTCTACAGCCTCAGTCCTCGTTCTACAGTCTGAGTCCTGGATCTACAGCCTCAGTCCTCGTTCTACAGTCTGAGTCCTGGATCTACAGCCTCAGTCCTCGTTCTACAGTCTGAGTCCTGGGTCTACAGCCTCAGTCCTCGTTCTACAGTCTGAGTCCTGGGTCTACAGCCTCAGTCCTCGTTCTACAGTCTGAGTCCTGGATCTATAGCCTCAGTCCTCGTTCTACAGTCTGAGTCCTGGATCTACAGCCTCAGTCCTTGTTCTACAGTCTGAGTCCTGGATCTACAGCCTCAGACCTCGTTCTACAGTCTGAGTCCTGGATCTACCGCCTCAGTCCTCGTTCTACAGTCTGAGTCCTGGATCTACAGCCTCAGTCCTCGTTCTACAGTCTGAATCCTGGGTCTACAGCCTCAGTCCTCGTTCTACAGTCTGAGTCCTGGATCTACAGCCTCAGTCCTCGTTCTACAGTCTGAGTCCTGGATCTACAGCCTCAGTCCTCGTTCTACAGTCTGAGTCCTGGATCTACAGCCTCAGTCCTCGTTCTACAGTCTGAGTCCTGGATCTACAGCCTCAGTCCTCGTTCTACAGTCTGAGTCCTGGATCTACAGCCTCAGACCTCGTTCTACAGTCTGAGTCCTGGATCTACAGCCTCAGTCCTCGTTCTACAATCTGAGTCCTGTATCTACAGCCTCAGTCCTCGTTCTACAGTCTGAGTCCTGGATCTACAGCCTCAGTCCTCGTTCTACAGTCTGAGTCCTGGATCTACAGCCTCAGTCCTCGTTCTACAGTCTGAGTCCTGGATCTACAGCCTCAGTCCTCGTTCTACAGTCTGAGTCCTGGATCTACAGCCTCAGTCCTCGTTCTACAGCCTCAGTCCTCGTTCTACAGCCTCAGTCCTCGTTCTACAGTCTGAGTCCTGGATCTACAGCCTCAGTCCTCGTTCTACAGTCTGAGTCCTGGATCTACAGCCTCAGTCCTCGTTCTACAGTCTGAGTCCTGGATCTACAGCCTCAGTCCTCGTTCTACAGTCTGAGTCCTGGATCTACAGCCTCAGTCCTCGTTCTACAGTCTGAGTCCTGGATCTACAGCCTCCGTCCTCGTTCTACAGTCTGAGTCCTGGATCTACAGCCTCAGTCCTCGTTCTACAGTCTGAGTCCTGGATCTACAGCCTCAGTCCTTGTTCTACAGTCTGAGTCCTGGATCTACAGCCTCAGTCCTCGTTCTACAGTCTGAGTCCTGGATCTACAGCCTCAGTCCTTGTTCTACAGTCTGAGTCCAGGATCTACAGCCTCAGTCCTCGTTCTACAGTCTGAGTCCTGGATCTACAGCCTCAGTCCTCGTTCTACAGTCTGAGTCCTGGATCTACAGCCTCAGTCCTCGTTCTACAGTCTGAATCCTGGGTCTACAGCCTCAGTCCTCGTTCTACAGTCTGAGTCCTGGGTCTACAGCCTCAGTCCTCGTTCTACAGTCTGAGTCCTGGGTCTACAGCCTCAGTCCTCGTTCTACAGTCTGAGTCCTGGATCTACAGCCTCAGTCCTCGTTCTACAGTCTGAGTCCTGGATCTACAGCCTCAGTCCTCGTTCTACAGTCTGAGTCCTGGATCTACCGCCTCAGACCTTGTTCTACAGTCTGAGTCCTGGATCTACCGCCTCAGACCTTGTTCTACAGTCTGAGACACTTAACCCCACTTTGCCTGAAGCCCCCACAGAAAGATCCAGGCTCCTGTGGACTCCTGCAGCAGGATCAGTGAGGGGCTGGTGCTCTGGGAAAATCATTGACATAAATTATAAGTAATAACGGACCTAGAATGGAGCCCTGAGGGACACCGTATTGCTCCTTTTGATACACGTAGCTCCTGAACCATCTGAGTCAGAACCTCTGACACCATAACTTTGCAACTTTCCAAGGACTATGTTGAAATCAGCACCATCGAACGCTTTTGATTCGTAGAGAAAAACGCCTACACCACACTGGCCTTTATCGATAGCGTCAGATCCAAAATAGCCTAGCATGGATCAGCTAGAAAAAAAAACAGATTGTGATGGTATGATAATATTTTGTTTGTTTAGCTGATCAACCTTTTATAGACAACTTTTCAAACTCTTTAGAATGTTTTGGTAAGATTGATTTTGGTCGATGGTATTGGAAATAATTTTTGTCAGCAGATTTGAAAACTGGGAGAATTTACTTACTTATAAAATCATGAATACCTCAATAATGCTCTAGAACCTTCTCAGGAATCAATAAATATATAAAGTCAATACAATGTGATTATAAAACACTGTTTATCTGTCCAATTTAAAACAATTTAAAACAATAAAAATATGTGAGGCAAGAAGTGACAAAGAGTAATTTCTTTGAAAGATAAGAAAAAGACTTATCTCGGTTTTCGTTCTTTCATCAACATTTCTTTTTACAAAATGCAGTTCAAAATGGTTTGGGTAGTCTGCCATCTGGTGGACAGTCTTAGCACATACCTCGTGCTCTCTTTTTTACTGACATTGGTGGTATAATATATTACTTTTACTAAACTATTGGTCCTCCTAATTGTCAATAATGTTTATGTGAGACACTTTTTAAAACGAGGTTCTTTCCTAAAATAAAATATGTATTATTCGTCCCACTGTGGGGAAATGTCAGTGTTGCATCACCAGTTACAGAGCAGTAGGAAAGAGGAACAGGAAGGAATAACGAATAATAACTCTACACTAAATTGTACAAAATAAAAATAAAAATGTCTAACTCTAGCATAAAAAGTAGTATAAAATCTCTATCTTTAACATAATAATTACAAAAACTTTAACTTTAGCATCTGTCATCATTAAAGGGCCCTAGTCTGTCATCATTAAAGGGCCCTAGTCTGTCCTCATTAAAGGGCCCTAATCTGTCATCATTAAAGGGCCCTAATCTGTCATCATTAAAGGGCCCTAATCTGTCATCATTAAAGGGCCCTAGTCTGTCCTCATTAAAGGGCCCTAATCTGTCATCATTAAAGGGCCCTAATCTGTCATCATTAAAGGGCCCTAATCTGTCATCATTAAAGGGCCCTAATCTGTCTTCATTAAAGGGCCCTAATCTGTCATCATTAAAGGGCCCTAGTCTGTCATCATTTAAGGGCCCTAATCTGTCATCATTAAAGGGCCCTAATCTGTCATAATAATAAACTGATCTTTTCCAAGCCTTCTTTAACTGATAACAGTCGTTCAGAGATAATTGAATTTTTAAATTACTTTTCCAGCCTCTAAATCTTGTTGTTTTCATTTTGATGTCCCGCCCTCCACCGTTTCACCAATCAGAAAGTCTGTGATCCGGGCGCCAGAACTCACCGCGTGGAGCTAATCTCACTGGTAAAGTACCATGTGGAGCAGAACTGAAAAAGGTCTCGTTATGATTCTCAAATCATTAACGACAAAACAAGGAATAAAACCAGGATTTCTATCTTTGTGAAAAAGGTGTTGGTTATAGATTTGTTGTTGACAAAACTCTTGTCTATTCAGCTGTTATGGTCCCAGCTGGATTCGTCTGCATATCTGGCAACCTCAGTCAGGGAGAGTCTGCAGTATGAATAATTTAATATTGATTCTATTTGCAAATATGGGAGTCTTCATCCCATATTTACAGACCTAAAGGGCTGTTGCTGATTATTACTTTTATTATGTTTTTAGAATGATCAATTTTATTTTTATTTTTGCTGCTACTGGACACCTGAATTTCTCCCACGGGGGATCAATAAAGTATCTATCTATCTATAGAACTCCCACAGACATCAGTGGGAGTCGTGGGAGTTTCACGACTCCCACTGATGACTGCTGTCGTTGTGTCCTTGGGCAAGACACTTAACCCCACTTTGCCTGAAGCCCCCACTGAGAGATCTCAGCTCCTGTGGACTCAGCACCTGCAGGAGGATCAGTGAGGGGCTGGTGCTCTGTGGACTGGGTGCAGCTATGACTGCCACCCCCCCGACCCAGAAATGGATTAAGGGGAAGAAAATGGATGGATGAATGGATGTAAAGTATGTGGTGAGTAACTTCATTCCAGCATCTAAAAAATGATCCTGTTTTGCTAACAAATATAAAACTTGTTATTGCTACTTTCTCAAAACCAAATGCAGCAAAAATTATAAATATATTTAGTCGAGCAATATCCATGGTTTAGCCCCAATAGATCCATGTTCATCCCATAGACTGTAAATATTATATCCACTACGCTAACAGCCCCACCACGCTCCCGTTCGGACTACATTACCCAGAATCCCACTGCACGCACACATGCCCCTTTACGTGATTGGTCATCCACAGTGAAACCTCCTGTCACTTCCCCCTGGTTGAAAATATGGTTGAAATCGTCTGGTTCTGCAGTACCTCACATGGAACAGCGTGATCCTCATGGCTGCACACGCCTCGTTGTGTTGTCGCTTTCTTCAAGGACAAAGAAAAACACACAAAATCAGAAACTTGTTCGTGCGCGGCGTCAACACAGACTCTCAGCCGCATCCTCTCCATGCGTCAAAACTGGACGAACTTGAATCCTCCACGAACTACATGAAAACAGCTTCTAAACTGGTGAGAAACGAGCAGAACTTCACATTTATTGTATTGTATTTGTGAGTGACGTGTGTCGAAATGTGTCTCCGTCTGCTTCTTCTTCTACGGTGTTATTAATCAGTGACAGAGTGATCCGAACTTGGCGTCTGTCAAAGTTCACCTGTGTTTTTTTTCTCAGCAGGAACGATTTGGAACCGACATCAAACCGTTTTCCTCCTTCCTCACAGACACATTTGGGAGAAAACACTCGTATTTGCGCATATCCTTGACTGAGAAATGCAACCTGCGATGTGAGTATTCCCGTACAGACTGGTACCAAGGCTGTGGACAGTCTGGTGCCCGATGGTAGTGGACTATAAGCCGCAGTGGACTATATTTAGCGGTAAACATAGTCCACTTTATTGGTAGTGGACTATGTTTACCGGACTATCTGTCTCGCTGCAGGTTCTACATTTTAGAAACAAATCGAATTGTGTATGTGTATAAGCCGCACCTGTCCCATATTGTAGTATTGAAAAGTTTAGCTCAAAAACATTCATAATTTCTTTTTACTGTGAGTAATAAGAGTAAAAGTAAGAAGTGAGTCACTGACAGTTCAGAATCGTCAGTGTGAAGAAACAACTTCTCTTTTTACTTTCATGTCTCTACAAATAACCAAAAACTAATTATTATGTGAGATATTTAAACAGATGTTATAAGTGAGGACTTTTAAACTTAATTTAACCTGCTTGGTAACAAATATATATTACAAATGCTTTTTCTTTAACGGTGTTCGTAACCTTTAAATAAACTGTCAATATACAACAGCAGCTTGTTCGGTCACCTTGTCAATAAAAGCATCTTGAAGAGCACTGTTGGAGCATTCCTTATCTGGGAGTATTACAATATTTTTTCTAGTATTTTCCATGTTGACGAAGCGGAGTACAAATGACTGATTGACATATTTTACAATTTAAATGGAGCTCTGTGAACTACTCATCAGTTCTCGGTCGACTGTTTCTTTACATAATGTTTTTGGCGCCACAGAAATCAAATAAAATAAAAATAAGCCGCACCTGACTATAAGCCGCAGCCTTCAGAATGCAGGGACACAGCTCACAGCCTTTCATAGTTAAAGCGATTTTCACAAACGCATATACATAATTACCTTTGAGATTTGGAAAGATTTCACAAATGTTTTTCTAGTTCGCTCATTTTCCTTTCTTTTTGATTCCCTTGGTTTCACTTCCTTGCTGTGGTTGATTTTCTTCACAAAAAGTGGTTACTAAGAAATCCATGTTTGTTTTCTTAGTATGTGGGGCCAGAACCTAAAACTTCTTTAAAAACACTCAAACACTCTTTGCCATTAACCTGCTTTTAAACTGTTATTATTACTATTTTATGATTCTGCTGCGACTAGAACAACGTGTTTTGATTCGGGTTAACGAGAGCGAACAACAGTAAGTCCTGACAAACACGACACTTTAACTTCTGTGTTATAAATGAGTAACTTGGCATTAAGGCACCAACAATATCTAACTAACACTAACAATTATCCGACTATGATACTATAAAAGAATCATGATCGATTAAAGAACAGACTCTACAATGTTTTTACTGCAGACCCTTGTTTTTGACCCGTGTCAGCATTTTTATTTCAAATTAAATGCATTAATTTGGATAAAAACAAGCGAATTCCTGACATTTGGAATAATGTCAATGTCAAGTTTATTTGAATTGAACATTTACAACAATACCAGCTGCACAATTAGGAAAAATAAAAGAAAACGGCTTAAAATACACACACACAAACATGTAGAAGTAAAATGGTAAAACTCAGTTGGTGGCATAAAAATGTGTCTTTAAACTAGATTTAAAAAGCTTCTCTATTGAACAAAACTATTTCTGTTAAAAGAGAAACAAGTTTGTAAAGAAAAGAGCAGCGTGTGTAACAAACGTTGATGGTAAGACTTCATGGTGTGTTTCATGGTGTCATTAATATTGTCATGTGACTTTTACTGACACACATTTAACCCCAAACAAATGCCATTTGCATGCTTGTTTCTCCAGTGTCTCTCTCGGGTCCAAGAGCCGCAAAGTGGTCACGGGAAGATTAGCGGTCTAGTGAGCAGACTGAAATAACTACAAAATACAGCCACAACAGGACTAAACCAGGACTAAACCAGGACTAAACCAGGACTAAACCAGGACTAAACCAGGACTAAACCAGGACTAAACCAGGACTAAACCAGGACTAAACCAGGACTTAACCAGGAAGACAACCGGGGACACAGTAGTTGTTCTCATTCAGGCTCTAGTAGTGACTAAACTATACTGACTGTAAACTGTTATATAAAGTCACCTCCGTGAACACATACTACTGTTATATAAAGTCACCTCCGTGAACACATACTGCTGTTATATAAAGTCACCTCCGTGAACACACACTGCTGTTATATAAAGTCACCTCCGTGAACACATACTGCTGTTATATAAAGTCACCTCCGTGAACACATACTGCTGTTATATAAAGTCTCTGGACTCTGAACACACTGCAGCTGCATTCTTAGCAAAGAACTTTACACAAAAAGCTGCTAGCTTAACTCTGTTAAGCCCGTCCGCTACTTCCGCCACTCCCTGCGGTGGTCTTTAAAAATAAAAGTTTATTTCTCTCTGAAAAGGTGTACCTGCATAATTATCATTGTATTAGATGAAAATGATCTCAGAACGACAATATTATTGCTTATCACAATAATTTCTGAGACAATTAATTGTCCAGCAAAATGTGTTATTGTGACAGGCCTACTGAAGTGTATTTCTCTTTAACAGTTCTCGTAAAGTCACAGATTAGTTTGAAAAGACGTGGATTTGACTGAATTGACCACAACGACAGAGGAGACTTTGGTTGTTTTTAAATCTCCACAAATTAAGTATTTTTTCTTAATTTCAACAAGAATTGGTCGATTTTTAAAGTGACTTGGGAGTAACTGTGAACACAAGTAACAATACATGTGGCACGGTGGCTGAGTGGTTGAAAATAACAAGAATACAAACTCTCACTTTCTACGTTTTCAAGTTTAAAAAACAGGAAAGAAAACATTGTTTATTCTTAAAGTGAAGATTCTATTTTCTATTTAAATAAATGCAGCTGTTTATGAACTTTTTTATAAAATTAAACGACAAATAATTACAGGTTTTATTTATTTAAACATCTATTGAGGTTGTGGTTTAAAATATTTTGAAATGTTTTGTTTTGTAAATAAACATGAATTTACAATAAATATGAATAATACAAAAATGTAGAAGTATTGTAAGTATTCTGAGTACAGGTACTGCGTTACCAAAGTAACGGAATACTGTAAAAAATACACTTTAGTTCCTGTGTGAACTGGAATGAAAGGCATGTTGTAAGTATTCTCCAAACTCTGCCCGGACCAGGCCCAGGTGGTTCTGTAACATGTGTTTGTCCCAGACCAGGCCCAGGTGGTTCTGTAACATGTGTTTGTCCCAGACCAGGCCCAGGTGGTTCTGTAACATGTGTTTGTCCCAGACCAGGCCCAGGTGGTTCTGTAACATGTGTTTGTCCCAGACCAGGCCCAGGTGGTTCTGTAACATGTGTTTGTCCCAGACCAGGCCCAGGTGGTTCTGTGACATGTGTTTGTCCCAGACCAGGCCCAGGTGGTTCTGTAACATGTGTTTGTCCCAGAACAGGCCCAGGTGGTTCTGTAACATGTGTTTGTCCCAGACCAGGCCCAGGTGGTTCCGTAACATGTGTTTGTCCCAGACCAGGCCCAGGTGGTTCTGTAACATGTGTTTGTCCCAGACCAGGCCCAGGTGGTTCTGTAACATGTGTTTGTCCCAGAACAGGCCCAGGTGGTTCTGTAACATGTGTTTGTCCCAGAACAGGCCCAGGTGGTTCTGTAACATGTGTTTGTCCCAGACCAGGCCCAGGTGGTTCTGTAACATGTGTTTGTCCCAGACCAGGCCCAGGTGGTTCCGTAACATGTGTTTGTCCCAGACCAGGCCCAGGTGGTTCCGTAACATGTGTTTGTCCCAGACCAGGCCCAGGTGGTTCTGTAACATGTGTTTGTCCCAGACCAGGCCCAGGTGGTTCTGTAACATGTGTTTGTCCCAGACCAGGCCCAGGTGGTTCTGTAATATGTGTTTGTCCCAGACCAGGCCCAGGTGGTTCTGTAACATGTGTTTGTCCCAGACCAGGCCCAGGTGGTTCTGTAACATGTGTTTGTCCCAGACCAGGCCCAGGTGGTTCTGTAACATGTGTTTGTCCCAGACCAGGCCCAGGTGGTTCTGTAACATGTGTTTGTCCCAGAACAGCCCCAGGTGGTTCTGTAACATGTGTTTGTCCCAGACCAGGCCCAGGTGGTTCCGTAACATGTGTTTGTCCCGGACCAGGCCCACGTGGTTCTGTAACATGTGTTTGTCCCAGACCAGGCCTAGGTGGTTCTGTAACATGTGTTTGTCCCAGAACAGGCCCAGGTGGTTCTGTAACATGTGTTTGTCCCAGACCAGGCCCAGGTGGTTCTGTAACATGTGTTTGTCCCAGACCAGGCCCAGGTGGTTCTGTAACATGTGTTTGTCCCGGACCAGGCCCAGGTGGTTCTGTAACATGTGTTTGTCCCAGACTAGGCCCAGGTGGTTCTGTAACATGTGTTTGTCCCAGACTAGGCCCAGGTGGTTCTGTAACATGTGTTTGCCCCAACCAGGCCCAGGTGGTTCTGTAACATGTGTTTGTCCCAGGCCAGTACTGCATGCCCGAGGAGGGGGTGAAGCTGACCCCCAAAGCCCAGGTTCTGTCCACGGCAGAGGTCCTGACCATCGCTCGCCTCTTCGTTCACGAGGGTGTGGATAAGATCCGGCTCACTGGAGGAGAGCCGCTCATTCACCCCGACGTGCTCCATATCATAGGTGAGCGTTTCATTGGTCCATATCATAGGTGAGCGTTTCATTGGTCCATATCATAGGTGAGCGTTTCATTGGTCCATGTCATAGGTGAGCGTTTCATTGGTCCATGTCATAGGTGAGCGTTTCATTGGTCCATATCATAGGTGAGCATTTCATTGGTCCATGTCATAGGTGAGCGTTTCATTGGTCCATGTCATAGGTGAGCGTTTCATTGGTCCATGTCATAGGTGAGCGTTTCATTGGTCCATATCATAGGTGAGCGTTTCATTGGTCCATGTCATAGGTGAGCGTTTCATTGGTCCATGTCATAGGTGAGCGTTTCATTGGTCCATATCATAGGTGAGCATTTCATTGGTCCATGTCATAGGTGAGCGTTTCATTGGTCCATATCATAGGTGAGCATTTCATTGGTCCATGTCATAGGTGAGCGTTTCATTGGTCCATATCATAGGTGAGCATTTCATTGGTCCATGTCTGTGAAGGTTATTTTGTGTTTTTGTTAGCAACACTTTGTTTTACTTTTGAATTGTATAAACCAGGGGCGGCCAACCAGTCAGAGACTAAGAGCCAATGTTTTACTGTGTTACAGCAAAGAGCCACATCATACAAATGTGCACTACATAAACATCACCCCAACACACACACACACACAGACACACACAGACACACACAGACACACAGACACGCACACAGACACACACACACACGCACGCACACACACAGACACACACACACACGCACGCACGTACGCACACAGACACACACACGCACGTACGCACACACACACACGCGCACACACACACAGACACACACACACACACACACGCACACAGACACGCGCACACAGACACACACACACGCGCACACAGACACACACACACGCACACACAGACACGCGCACACACGCACGTACGCACACAGACACAAACACGCGCACACAGACACACACACGCACACACAGACACGCGCACACACGCACGTACGCACACAGACACACACACGCACACAGACACGCGCACACACGCACGTACGCACACAGACACACACACACGCACACACAGACACACACACAGACACACACACGCACACACAGACACACACACACGCATGTACGCACACAGACACACACACACAGACACACACACACAGACACACACACACGCACGTACGCACACAGACACACCTCACAACATGATAATGACAGAAATGGACTCGTACAGTTCTAAAGGTCTGGACTAGACTCTGCCCGGTTTGAGGGAGCTTCCACCGCTCGCTTTATCCACTCCCCGGTACTTTTTATTAATAGTCTGGCTCTGGTTCTAACCGGGCGAGTCGATACCAGAACAATCTGACGTCAGCGAACATCAATTATGATTCCGAAATAAATGCTTTCAATCTCTAACCAAGAAAAAAAAGTCAAGTTTCAACCCAGTATTCAGCAGAAACACAACTGTCTTTATTGAACCATGATTCACACTGGTGCACACTGGAGTCTTGCACAGTTTTTCCAATGTGGTTTTATGGAAAATGGCAAATAAATGAATCTGAATCTGATTCACTCTGACTACGTTTAGTAAAAGATATAGATTTGACACATAACACCAACACCACTTTAGCTGATTTAGAACCACAGACACATGTTCATTATAAGACTTGAGTGTCTGTCTTCAATCAAATGCAAAAGTATCACCAGGCAGAGTTGGCTTATCTCCTGGTGTAGCTGGTTTTAGCATGTTAGCCGGTGTTAGCTGGTGTACGTAAATTAAATCCATTTGGTCAAACCACCTCCAGACTTTTCGGGTCTGCCTCTACTTCTGCTGCTGTGATCTTTCATTTCACGGTTGTCACTTCAAAGCTTTTTAATTTTTCTCTTCATTGTCATGTTTGTGGGAATCATTCTGCTCCGTCCTTAGCGCTAGCTCCACAAACACCTTCTGGTTTCTGGTGGAACCATCGAGCTCACGCTGGTGTCCTCTCCTCAAACTGAGGAAGGTGTTGCCCTCATCCAGCGACCAAGGAATTGTTTTCCGTAAGGACGCCATCGGTCGAGGCAACGTGTTGTTTGTTATGATATTTGCACCAGCTGAGGCAGCAGCTGCAGAGTGACTGACAGCGCATCTGACCAATCAGAATTCACGTTCGCCGACGTCGGATTGTTTTGGCGGCCCGGCTAGTGTAGTGAAGTCGGCCTTTACTATGGGTCAGAACTACATAGGAAATGAAGGCAGCGCCACCACCGAGGCGTTTTTGACGCTTGTCGTGTGAAAGCCCGAGAGCCGCACAGAACCAGCCAAAGAGCTGATGTTTTAAAATCGTGTCCAAATATCCAATGTTTTATAATTCAGTATCAAAAAATCAAATGTTTTGAAATTCAGTGTCCAAAAATTCAGTGTCCAAAAATGTGTTGAATATTTTTTCGCTGGTTGAAATGTCATGCTTGATTTCCGGGTGAATCAAGACGGAAGCAATATTGACGGTGCAAACTTTGTACACAACACAACTTTACAACAATGATACAACAAACTAGGGCCAAAGCAGTCGGTCAAAAACAGAATCAATAATTGGACCGTACTGAGCAACACCAACAGTCACTTATCTTGTGCTGTTCTCCTCTTTCCTACTGTTCTGTAACTGCTGATACAACACTGGAATTTCCCCACTGTGGGACCAATAAAAGATCTCTTCATCTTAATCATAAAGAATATTGTTTTATATCGTATATAGAGATATTGAAAATAATGTCAAGATATATTTTCCTCTATATTGCCCAGCCTGAGTTTAGTTTAGTGGTTTAGCCCCATCTCCCAATCACATGCACCAGATGCAACATCCTCCAGCACCGATCCTGACTCCTGACCAAGAGCACCATGGGTCTGGAGTCTCCACAGACAGCATTTGGAGGTGGAGACCAGGGAGCTATTCAGGGGCTATTCAGGAGCTATTCAGGAGCTATTCAGGGGCTATTCAGGGGCTATTCAGGGGCTATTCAGGGGCTATTCAGGAGCTATTCAGGAGCTATTCAGGGGCTATTCAGGAGCTATTCAGGAGCTATTCAGGAGCTATTCAGGAGCTATTCAGGAGCCATTCAGGGGCTATTCAGGGGCTATTCAGGGGCTATTCAGGGGCTATTCAGGAGCCATTCAGGAGCCATTCAGGGGCTATTCAGGAGCCATTCAGGGGCTATTCAGGGGCTATTCAGGAGCTATTCAGGGGCTATTCAGGGGCTATTCAGGGGCCATTCAGGAGCCATTCAGGGGCTATTCAGGAGCCATTCAGGGGCTATTCAGGAGCTACTCTGGTGCTATTCAGTATTCAGGAGCTACTCGGGTGCTATTCAGGAGCTGCTCGGGAGCTACTCTAGTCACCTCCGCCCTGTCAGCGGCTGTGGAGGCTTTGAGGAATGGGTCATCTATGAACATTTCTCACATTGTTCACAAATGTATTGTGTAACGCTAGCTAGTGGCTACGCAAGATCTGACTTTGGCTATTAACGGAATAGCAGTGTAGTGAGCAGAAGAGGGTGGATCGGCAAGGAGCCTGAGGTGCACATAAAGACAACTGATATCTACGTGATAAAGAATTGTATTATAATAGTCCAACAGATGAAATATTATTGCACACAAAAAAAACCCATACACCAGATTGCAGGTGTATGGAAAAAAACAGGTTCCACCACAAAGTCTTTAGGTAAAAGTCCAACAAAAAAATGCTTGCTACTTGCAAGGCTATTTAAGTTCCGCTCGAGGAGGATGAAAAGAAAAGTAATCCACAAAAAGCGTGTAGGAAGCAATAGACAGTTTGTCCTACCGCGTCGTTGTCTAGCTCGCCATTTGTTGAGTCGTGGTGTAGAAAGGCTCAGTTCATTGGGTTAGTCCATCCCATTACAAAAACCTGACCTGAGGCCAAAAACATAAATAAGTAACATTGCATTAAGGCTATACAAGGAGAAGATTGGTATAACATTTTTTGTTATACAGGTTATTCTATTTGTAATACTAATACACATAGTATTAATAGTATAAATAATAATCATGATTTCTCAGAGAAATTAAATGTATGAACACTAGTTCATCAGTTCTACCGAAAATAACTCATTAAACAAGGTTGTAGAAGTGCACTAAAATATCTTTCACTAATCATCAATAATTGACATTAAAAATATGAATGATCAGTAATCCTGGTTTACGTCATAATACTCAAGCAGAGTTGATAAATAAAAGTGTTGCGCAACAAACAATAAACACACAGACGCGTCTCATTGGAGCGCACAGTAACTCCATTAATAATATGCTGACTGCCTTTAAGAGCCTGCAAAAGTAAGACAGCATATTGGGAACACAGATCCAGTTAAACATGTCCTAAACTAAAGAGTTGCCTAACAATACGGCTTATTGATAAAAAGGAAAAGAGCGGGTTTACCTGAGTAACTTGGGGCAAACACGACACACCATGCATGGCCCGCTACTTAAAAGAACATGGCGGCTCTATGGGAGAATGGCATCACATTAGCGACTATGCTAAAACGTTTCAAAAACAGTACTTAGCGATCTCTTATAAACAAATGCATTTAGGATTAGGCTTCTTCGGCCATGGCAAAAGACTCACCTAATTATGAAGTGTCAATAATGCGCGATTGGAGAGTTTCAGCAAGTCTACTCTCACATGCCGTCTGTCAATGCTGCAGCCACAACGGAGACGGGAGGGGGGAGGAGATGCGCGCAGCTGATAGTTAAAGAGACGGGCGCTTTTGGGGGAAGTTGGCTTACAAAATAAAAGTCTTTAAGACACTAAAGCCGTTTCAGTTAAGCATGTTAATCATGGTAATGAAATGCGGGTCACAATTGGTATAAATAAAACATGTTATATACTAAAATACTGCACACATGAATAGACTGTATTTGAAAAACACCACTTGTTTTTATGATTTCTTCTCTTTTTGTCGTGTGAGAAGGAATAAGTCCCGTATCACAGCGTTTCTGGTCCAAGTCGGCTCTTACAGTGATATGTATTTGGTGTTTTAGAATAATGCTTCCATGATATACTTTATATGTAGAGTTTGGTGAAGTCATTTTGAGCTCAAGGACACCGGGTAAAGACAACACAAGGAGACAGTCGAGAAGAAATGGTCGATTATGTTCAAGGACCTGGAATTCTAAACCGCAAAAAATACACAAATAAAGTTAAATCCTTTCTAACTCAACCCACAACCATAACTCCTCATACAGTCCTCTCTTTAGTGTTTGAGACCCAGTTCATGTGCGTCACAGAGAGCGTGTCTAAATGTCGATGTGTGTCAGTCTGTGTACATGTGACTTAAACACTGCTGTCGTAACGTGTGGGGGTGTGAGTGAGGGAAGGGTGAGGCTCTGTTGGAACTATAATAAAGTGGGACAAGGAGCTGGTCATGTGCGTCACTTCAGACTGATATGGAACTCATTTTTCACTTTCTTTTTTTTCTTTTCAAAAGCTGAACTAAGGAAGCTGCAAGGGCTCCAAACTATTGCTGTCACCACCAACGGGTTAAACCTGTCCAAGGCCCTGCCCCGGCTGCAGCAGGCCGGACTCACCCACCTCAACATCAGCCTGGACACACTGGTGCCCGCCAAGTTTGAATTTATCGTCAGGCGGAAAGGTAACAGTGTTTTAAGTTTAATACGTTCATATTTTACCTTTTAATTGTGTTTTTTTTGTTGGATGTCTTTTATCTCACAATTCACTTAAGTGTAGCTAAATATTGAGTCTTTTCATAAATGCATGTTAAAACTTGGTATCTGAGGAAAACATTAAAGGAGCAGTATGTAAACATGTGGCCAAAAGTGGTACTGCAGCCTCTCCCACTCTCCCTGACTCAGGTTGCCAGATATGCAGACGAATCCAGCTGGGACCATAACAGCTGAATAGACAAGAGAACTAAAAAACAAGACTTTTTTTAGTTCTGCGCCATATGGTACTTTACCAGTGAGATTAGCTCCACGCGGTGAGTTCTGGCGTGGAGCTAATCTCCGATCAAGGACTTTCTGATTGGTGAAACGATGGCAGGACATTGAAATAAACTACTGTTATCAGTTAAAGAAGTGTTGGAAAATAATTTTTTTTGTATTATTATGACAGATTTGGGCCATTAAATGATGACAGATTAGGGCCCTTTAATGATGACAGATTAGGGCCCTTTAATGAAGACAGATTAGGGTCCTTTAATGATGACAGATTAGGGCCCTTTAATGATGACAGATTAGGGCCCTTTAATGATGACAGATTAGGGCCCTTTAATGAAGACAGATTAGGGTCCTTTAATGAAGACAGATTAGGGCCCTTTAATGATGACAGATTAGGGCCCTTTAATGATGACAGATTAGGGTCCTTTAATGATGACAGATTAGGGCCCTTTAATGAAGACAGATTAGGGTCCTTTAATGAAGACAGATTAGGGTCCTTTAATGAAGACAGATTAGGGTCCTTTAATGAAGACAGATTAGGGTCCTTTAATGAAGACAGATTAGGGTCCTTTAATGAGGACAGATTAGGGTCCTTTAATGAAGACAGATTAGGGTCCTTTAATGAGGACAGATTAGGGCCCTTGATTGATGACTTGACATGAAAATCTTACATATTGCTGCTTTAAAGAATCAAACAAAAAACCATTAAAGGAATTAATTAAGTAAATGAATGAATTATATAAACATGATCTACCTGCACAGTGACATAACATACAATAACTTAATAACATGCGTAATTACTTAAAGGCACATCGCGGACTTTGTGACCTAAAGAGTTGACACATATGAGTTATTTTATATGAATACTTGGGCCAATATACAGCGCTTGACACTTGCAATGCTCCGAGCGGGGCTGCCCTCTTGAAATACCGCCCATGTAAGTTTCGAGCAGACGGACCGTCTGCCACCAGGTCACGTGACTTGGAAGAAAGACTTGCTTTACGGCTACAGGCGCTGATATACTCATGGAGCTAAGGCTTTTGCTACTCATTTTTCACCTGCTCGACTCCTGGTCATGGCTGAGGCAAGGAAAAATTTTAAACCTTCGGAGGAGGCTAAAAAGAGGAAACGCGAAAGGGATCGTGCTGTAAGCTGCATGTCTGTATGAGCGCTGCTCTTCACCTGGTTCCTGGATGTCATCGACTGCAAAGATGTCATTCCACGCAGCACGAGCTAGACGCAGAACTCCCTCATCCAGGATATAGAAGTCCATGTGTGGTAGATTACTAATGCAGCGGTCTGGAGGCTGACCACAGCAGAGTCTCTCAATATCTGTAGGCATGTCTCTACAGTTTGAACACACACACCAGTGCATGCTGTCTGAATACACACTCAAAAGACACCGGCTGACTGTTGACTTTTGCGACAGTGCTGAGTTGCTTGTGGCCACTAGGGGCGCTAAACGTGAAAGTTGCAGGTCTAGCGCCCCTAGTGGCCAAGAGTTACACGGTGTGCCTTTAATAACATAATTACTTCATACATTAATAATAACATCTTTTGTGTTGATAGGTTTCCACAAAGTAATGGAAAGTATCGATAAAGCCATCGAACTGGGCTATGACCCCGTGAAGGTCTGTATCTTTGTCTATGACCTTAGGCGTGATACTTCCTGTCTGTGGTTGTAGTTGACCTGCGCTGCCCCCTGCAGGTGAACTGTGTGGTGATGCGGGGCTTCAATGAGGATGAGGTCCTGGACTTTGTTTCCCTCACGGAGAAGAAACCTGTGGAAGTGCGATTTATTGAGTACATGCCGTTTGATGGTAAGAGTTTGTGCTTTAAAAAACTGTCTCTGGTTTAATTATATATTTTTTGACTGTACTCAAGGCTTTAAAACAATACTTTGTCAATTTAAAACACAAAAATACGTTTCATCTGCGGACAGTAACCAACCACTGTTTATACGGAGTGTTTTTCTTCATCCTACTCCTGTTCTTTCTTTCATGGAATGTATTACTGTTGTGTTTGAGGATTATTGTCATGTTGTGTTGCATTACCATAAAAAGGATCAAAATAAATAAATATATAATATAACCACACTGCAAAAAGTGATGAAAAAAGACGTCAGAAATGGCTCAAAATTGGCCAAATGTATTTTAATTTAGCACATTCTGACTGCACCTTTCAACAAGATTCTCCAATGTACAATAATGTTTAATTATTTTATTTATGAGGGACAAAGCAAAATGAACTTGTTTTAAAAAGATACAGAAATGTCTCCCTTGGAATGAAAAAATAAATGTGTCTTTGTCCCGTTAGAGAATCTAGTCAGAATGTAAGTAAGTACTCAAATTAAGATAAAAACTACTTGATTAAATTATTTATTACCTCATATTTTATCATTTTTTGCAGTGTATACGCATGTTTTTCACTACAGTGCTTTTTCAGGTAACAAGTGGAATTTTAAAAAGATGGTGAGCTACCAGGAGATGTTGGACCAGATCCGTCAGCATTGGCCAAACATTGAGCCGCTTCCTGCTGGTCCCACAGACACCTCCAAGGTTTCCATTACTCACTTGTCCTGAACTGTTTTATGTTCCGTCTCATGTGATTGAACACGTCCTCTCTCCAAAACAGACTTATCAAATCCCTGGTTTTAGAGGACAGGTGGGCTTCATCACTTCCATGTCCGAGCATTTCTGTGGCACCTGCAACCGCTTACGAATCACTGCAGATGGAAACCTGAAGGTAAGTGAATAATCAATGATCGGATAATGTAAATAAAAAAAACAAGAGATAAATCTTATTTTTGCTACATTTTTATTCTGTTCTATTCTCTTTTAACTTGTTTGCACCGAGAGCCAAAGCAATATCCTAGTTTGTGACTTCCTGTTACTCACATGGCAATGAAAGGATTCTGATTAGTAACACTGGTGTAGTTCAAATTGTCCTTAAATGATGTTAGTCAATGGATAAATTCAGCTAAATAAACCGTATCTGTTCTTGTTTTACTGATTTGTCATAATCTACCCCTTTATGAATCCATTTCTGGGTCAGGGGTGGGGGCAATCAGAGCTGCCCAAGTCTCACAGCACCAGTCCCTCTGACCCTCCTCCAGGGGGTGATCCCACAGGAAGATGGCTTCTCCGTGATCAAAGACATGGCCTTGGTCCTTCAGCGGGGGCTTTAGGCAGTGTGGGGTTAAGTGTCTTGGCCCGAGGAGACACGACGACAGCAGACATCAGTGGGAGATGACATAGATCGTGCTGGGATCGAACCCACAACCATTAGGTCCAAACACCAACTGAGCTACTTTCGCCCCCGGGGAATTCCAATGCCTCATGTCATTTCCAATAAGAGAATAACACTTTTTGACCATCTGCTGTACTGCTGTGATCACTGTTTACCTCTATGACACATGACACCAACAACCGAGGTGTTCTTGTGTGGCAGGTGTGTTTGTTCGGCAGCGCGGAGGTGTCTCTGCGGGACGTCCTGCGCTCCGGTGCCTCAGAAGAAGAACTCCTGCAGATCATCGGAGCAGCTGTGGGAAAGAAGAAGAAGCAACACGCAGGTGAGCTCCTCAAATACACAATACACACAGTTTTATCTAGTGCGCTCACATCTACACCTTCTGTTTCAGGGATGTTCAACATTTCTAAAATGAAGAACAGGCCCATGATCTTCATCGGTGGGTGACAGCGTACGTAAACACCATGACGGACCACAGAAAGTATATAGTATAACATACAGTACAGCGCAAAGGTTTGGACACCTTCTCATACAGAGTTTATTTCCATGATTATGAAAACTGTAGATTGACACTGAAGGCATCAAACCTATGAATGAACTCATGTGAATTATGTACGTGCTAAAAAAGTATGAACCAAGTGTAAATATGTGTTATATTCTGGTTCTTCAAAGTAGCTCCTTTTGCTCTGATACTGCTTCACTCTTGGCATTCTCTGGATGAGCTTCAACAGGACCTGAAATGGTCTCCAACAGTCTGGAAGGAGTTCCCATGATGCTTAGCACTTGTTGGCCCCTTCACTCTGTGGTCCAGCCCCAAAACCATCTGGACTGGGTTCAGGTCCAAAACCATCTGGACTGGGTTCAGGTCCAAAACCATCTGGACTGGGTTCAGGTCCGGTCTCTCTCCTTATTGGTCAAACAGCCCTTACACAGCCTGGTGTGGGTCTACAGCAATAGTCATGAAAAGAACTCAGTGAAGGAGAGAGGATGTCCAAACTTCTGCTCTGTACAGTTTGTGACTACTGCAATTGTCGGATCTTATTTTGAAGTTAGTTCGAACCCTGCGGTCGATATAGTAATGCGACAAGTGTCTAATTTTTGTCAGAGCTCACCGCAGGGTGAACTAATGACGCAGGACACGTTCCTGCTTCAGTGTGTTTATGTGAACAGCAGAAATAAAATACACAGCACTCTTTTCCAAATGGATTGGATTCCAGAGTGCTTTGATCCTCACTACTCAACAGTGCGTTAAAATACTTTTGGATTTGTTTTTCCCCATCAGCTGTTTGTAGGTGTTACATCACAACTTTATTTTAAAATGAAGCTGGTGTGGTTTATATTTGTGTGTGCTTAAAAGTCCAGAAAATACTGTAGTTTAGCAAAACAACTAATGCAGTGTACAGTACTAACTTCACACAAGTCCTAAGCTTTATTTGGTGTGAATAAAGGGAACGCTAATCTGGTAATAAGTTATCCCTTTAGTTTTCAGAAGTGTTATGGGAAACAACCAAAACTTTATAAGAGACAGACGACTACTGCAATCAATCACTAATCAATAAAACAAAATGTAGGGACTAAACATGGGGAGGCTGCATTTCAGATTTATGCAGAGAAAATCTGGAACAGTCTTCCTGAAGATGTGAGACAGGCCTCCTCTCTGACTGTGTTTAAATCCAGGTTAAAAACAGTTCTGTTTAGATTTTATATTTTTATCTTTCTTCTTAATGTACTTATATTTCTCTTATTTTGTTCAGCACTTTGAGTTGTGTATGAATTGTTCTCTACAAATAAACTTGCCCTTTCTTTTCAGCTGTGGAGCAAAAATGAAAAGTTCTTCTCATTCGCAGGTGCTGACCAGAAAGCTCAACCCAAGTCCAGCCGTGTGTTTTCGCTCCAAACAAACATCCACCGTTGGCCACGTTTCAGCCGAGGCCGTCTCCAAACAGTTGTTCTTCCTCGCTCTCTTCCTCTTCCTCCCAACGCCAAACGACTCCAGAGCATCCGTCTGTGCCACGGCGACGCCAGCAAAGACCCCCCACAGCTCTCCCACACAGACGCCCAGGGCCGCTCCTCCATGGTGGACGTCGGCGCCAAACGTCCCTCGTGCAGAACGGCCTCGGCTCAAGCCACCGTCAAACTCGGACACGCCGCGTTTTCACTCCTGCGAGAAAACCAGCTGGCCAAAGGGGACGCTCTCGCCGTTTCGCAGATAGCCGGGATTTTGGCTTCAAAACAGACCTCAAACCTGATCCCACTGTGCCACGCCCTGCCCCTGGACCACGTCAGCGTCACGTTCCAACTGGACCAGGAGCAGGACGCCGTTGTGGTCCGGGCCACCTGCCGCACCACGGGGAGGACCGGCGTGGAGATGGAGGCTCTGACTGCGGTGACCGTGGCCGCGCTCACCGTCTACGACATGTGCAAAGCTGTGACCCACGACATCATCATCACAGACATTAAGTTGATTAGTAAAACTGGAGGAAAGAGAGATTTTCATCGTTCTCAAAACCCAAACCAGGAAGAATGACTCGGCCATTCAGGGAAGCAGATAAGAAAAGATAAGATGGATCTCTCACATTTGGCTCAGATAGATTCAAAAAGACAGAAGTGTGGAACATGTTAAAGCAGAATAGGTTGCCTTCATGTTGTAGGATTGTCTTGCAGTTGCTTAAAGGTCCTATATTTCGTTTTTCTTAATTCTTCACAGTCCGTACTCATTATTATCATTATGTGTGATAATAATGTGGGTGATACACAAACAATACTCAAAACTTAGAAATTACAGCCATTTCTTGCCGCTGTATTGAAAGGCTGGGATCGGATCTGAGCTCTTTCCCTGAGAGTCTGAGTTTCAAAGGCAGATCCCGGGAATAGAAAGTCACGTATTTACACCAAAAACATATCTCAAGTTGGCATGAGGCCTGTATACACTCAGGTGTCACCGGTTGCGTTGGGGGTTGCGCTGGACCTACGCAGCCACAGTTGCTCGTACACTCGGCCGTACCACCCCTTTTGTAGTTTTGAGGATACTGTTGTAATCCCTCTCCCAACCACATGATGGCGATCTCACAGGAGTTGCCTGGGAAACCAAAGCGGTCCCATTTGCGCTGCTACTTTCTCTTCAGAACAAAAACCATGAACTGAGCTGTTAGATCATTACATGTTTCTAGGTTTATGTGAAAGTTCTATGGACTCATTGTTTCATAACTTTTAACTGTGGCTAAACATGGTTATTATTAAAGTGTAATCAGCACAAACGGCAAAACAAAGTGATAAATATCTGAGACCAAACCATTTACAAGTGCGGGATGAATGCAACGAACGTGATGAGATTTGTATCAAAACTCTAGTCCACAGCCTCCTGTAGATCAGGGTCTGAACCCAAACTGTTTTTACTTCAGTTCCTTCTAAGTCTGCTCAGTGCCAAACTTACATCCACACAGGCCAATCACAGTGGACCTTCTGTCACACACGAGCCAATCACAGTGGACCTTCTCTCACACAGGCCAATCACAGTGGACCTTCTGTCACACACGAGCCAATCACAGTGGACCTTCTGTCACACAGGCCAATCACAGTGGACCTTCTCTCACACGAGCCAATCACAGTGGACCTTCTGTCACACACGAGCCAATCACAGTGGACCTTCTCTCACACGAGCCAATCACAGTGGACCTTCTCTCACACAGGCCAATCACAGTGGACCTTCTCTCACACAGGCCAATCACAGTGGACCTTCTCTCACACAGGCCAATCACAGTGGACCTTCTCTCACACAGGCCAATCACAGTGGACCTTCTGTCACACACGGGCCAATCACAGTGGACCTTCTGTCACACAGGCCAATCACAGTGGACCTTCTCTCACACGAGCCAATCACAGTGGACCTTCTGTCACACACGAGCCAATCACAGTGGACCTTCTCTCACACGAGCCAATCACAGTGGACCTTCTCTCACACGAGCCAATCACAGTGGACCTTCTCTCACACAGGCCAATCACAGTGGACCTTCTCTCACACAGGCCAATCACAGTGGACCTTCTCTCACACAGGCCAATCACAGTGGACCTTCTGTCACACACGAGCCAATCACAGTGGACCTTCTGTCACACAGGCCAATCACAGTGGACCTTCTGTCACACACGAGCCAATCACAGTGGACCTTCTGTCACACAGGCCAATCACAGTGGACCTTCTCTCACACGAGCCAATCACAGTGGACCTTCTGTCACACACGAGCCAATCACAGTGGACCTTCTCTCACACGAGCCAATCACAGTGGACCTTCTCTCACACAGGCCAATCACAGTGGACCTTCTCTCACACAGGCCAATCACAGTGGACCTTCTCTCACACAGGCCAATCACAGTGGACCTTCTCTCACACAGGCCAATCACAGTGGACCTTCTGTCACACACGGGCCAATCACAGTGGACCTTCTGTCACACAGGCCAATCACAGTGGACCTTCTCTCACACGAGCCAATCACAGTGGACCTTCTGTCACACACGAGCCAATCACAGTGGACCTTCTCTCACACGAGCCAATCACAGTGGACCTTCTCTCACACACGAGCCAATCACAGTGGACCTTTTGTCACACACGAGCCAATCACAGTGGACCTTCTGTCACACAGGCCAATCACAGTGGACCTTCTCTCACACAGGCCAATCACAGTGGACCTTCTCTCACACAGGCCAATCACAGTGGACCTTCTGTCACACACGAGCCAATCACAGTGGACCTTCTCTCACACAGGCCAATCACAGTGGACCTTCTCTCACACAGGCCAATCACAGTGGACCTTCTGTCACACGAGTCTATCACAGTGGACGTTCTCTCACACACGAGCCAATCACAGTGGACCTTCTGTCACACGGGCCAATCGCAGCGGTCTTTCTCCGAGGGTGCATGGGTGGTTGTGAAAGGGTCTTGTGTTGATCATGTGACGCCAGGTGATGTCTCAAGAACCAGCACAAGTTCAGCAACGTCGACTTTGCTGCTTTTCTACTTCTGACAAACACAGACTGTGGGAGCGGGTCCAGACGCTGAGAAAGGCTCTGATTCGCTGTTTTGGTTTCTCTCTCCTGTCAATCACCTCCTGGGGCGGGGCTTCTTGAGCTTTAGCTACGTGTGAAAGTGTATGTTGTTTTTGAGCCTCTGGAGAATGAAAAAGAAAGATCACTCTGTAACTAAAGCTTGAATCAATGAAAAAACTACTCTGGGCAAATCTCTCTGTAATGTTTAAATCAGAGAATAACAAAAAAGCGTAGTATGGGACCTTTAAAGAAATGTTTGAAGCCAAGAATGTCTAAATTTTTTCGGATACAACTTTTAGTGTAGCGTTGGTGAGCGTTACCGTGGCAACACAGTGAAAACAGGTGTTCATGTAATCAGGGGTTTGGTGCGAAAGAGGCGGGAAAGTGATGGTTGTGCCAAATAAAATAACTTATGGACTGAAAGAGCGAGCTGTGTTTACAATAACAACTGGTTTATAATGGGTAATTTTTTATACAATGATATCTAAGTATTAAAAATGGTAAAACTATAAAAACGTGACGGTACAGAGAGGGTCCGAGCTTCTGTAGCCGCCGCCTGTAGAACGGGACTGAAGGATTTCCCGCTCACACAAACCAGGAAGTCAGACCCTCGCAATTAAAATAAAATAAAATATTATCTCCTATTGTGTGTTTCAGACTGAATGTGAAGCTTTCTGGTGGTTTTCTTGTATTTTATGTCTATATTGATTAAGATATATTTTTGGACTGGCCCAAATTAAAGCAACAATCTTAAAACTGTTCATTTTTTTCTTAACATTGTTTTTAAATACATTTATTTCCAATTATTTCTCTTTTTTTATATTTTATTTAGTGGCGCCCCCTGCAGGTTAAAGCCAGATCCTGTCAGACTGCTGAAGCTAAGCAGGGCAGGGCTTGGTTAGTACTGAGATGGGAGACTTCTATAGGAACACCTCACCCACATTAGAATGAGTCTGGTGTGTGTGTGAATGGTTGGTGGTGGTGGGAGGGGCCGATGGCACAGACTGGTTGCTTCGCTTCTGTCAGTGTGCCCCAGGGCAGCTGTGGCTACAGTGGTAATATCACCACCGTGTTTGGAGTGAAGAGGTTTTGAGTGTCCAGAAAAGCGCTGTATAAAATCAATGCATTATTATTATTATGCTGCAGTAGAGTAGACCTTTGTGAGCTTGTGTTGCTATGGTTAGTTCTTGTGTGTTTACTCTGTTTAAACCATAACAACTCCAAATGCAAACAGCAGAGATCGAAAGTAAATATATTTTTTCTTCAGTGATAGATCAGGATTGAACCAACCACCGTGAGTAGAAAAGATCTCAATGACATAAAGATAATGTTTGTAAATTCTGTAGTTTTCACATTTATCACTGAATTATAAATCTGTGGAATAGATTAGTGTAAATATGGAGCTGTATGAGGAGGACATGGACGAGAAGGAGGAAGAAGAGGAGGACATTAAACCTCTGGACTTCCAAACATTGGATCGGCTCAATACTGTAAGTAAACACAACCTTTTGGATTGGAGAGCTACTATGGAACTGAAATGGCAGAGAGCTACTCCTGTTAGCCGTCCTGAAACAGATGTATTTTATAAGGTCTATAGCAAACCCTGAAGAAGACATCTGTATGAACCAGTGCATTCAAACATTTATAGTTAAAATGTGAAAAGTCAAAGGTAAAAGATTCAGGATCATGTGTTAAAGTCTTGAATCCTTTGGGGAGCTACCTGAAAGCAGGAAACGAGCTACTGGTAGCTCCTGAGCCACAGGTTGGAGACCCCTGGTATTTACATTCTGTACTTCCTGGACCATAAGCCGCAGGTTTTCATGTTGGGGCAGACGGACCCACTACACCTTCATCTGTTCCCGCCTTACTGTAACTCCCTGACCACGTTAAAGCAGTTCCCTCCAGGTGCTCCGGTTTCCCCATCACTAAAATCATGTACAATGGTCCACAGGTGATGCTTATTTACCTTTAATTGTGTGTGTGGTATTTCATTGTTGTGTATCATTATTGTACATTGTGTAGTTTTGGTCTTGTCTGTTTTGTCGTGTTGTGTGCTCTCTGTCTGATTTGTTCCTTTTTTGGGTCTCTTTTTGACATTTATAGTAGTAATTGACTACTTCACACACACACACACGTGCACATACACGCACACATGCACACACACACGTGCACATACACACACATATGCACGCACACGTGCACATACACGCACATATGCACGCACACACACACACGTGCACATACACACACACACACGCACACACACACAAGTGCACATACACACACATGCACACACACACCACACACACACACACCCACACAAACACAAACTTCTATTTTTCAGGAGTTATTCAAATGTTTTAATCTTGCTGATGAAGTTGCGAAAGAAATTCAAGAATCAACAAATGCCAAAAGGAAACAGAGGCAGAGGAAGTCATTATTCCAAGGTACAAGCACCAACAGTACTTATACTTTAGTGTTTGGAAGTATGATTGTAGCTGCCACTTTAAACATGTACTAAAACTTATTTTCATCCAAAGCCATTCAGCAGCAGGAAAGAAAACACCGCGATATTGATTTTAGGGTGGAGAAGGCGAAGCTGGAGGTGAGTCCTTTATTATTACATTCATTAAAGGAGCAGTGTGTAAACATGTGGCCAAAAGTGGTACTGCAGCCTCTCCCACTCTCCCTGACTCAGGTTGCCAGATATGCAGACGAATCCAGCTGGGACCATAACAGCTGAATAGACAAGAGTTTAGTCAACAACAAATCTATAACCAACACCTTTTTCACAAAGATAAAAATCCTGGTTTTATTCCTTGTTTTGTCGTTAATGATTTGAGAATCATAACGAGACCTTTTTTAGTTCTGCGCCACATGGTACTTTACCAGTGAGATTAGCTCCACGCGGTGAGTTCTGGCGCCCGGATCAGAGACTTTATGATTGGTGAAACGGTGGAGGGCGGGACATCGAAATGAAAACAATAACAAGATTTAGAGGCTGGAAAAGTAATTTATAAATTCAAATATCTCTGAACGACTGTTATCAGTTAAAGAAGGCTTGGAAAAGAGCAGTTTATTATTATGACAGATTAGGACCCTTTAATGATGACAGATTAGGGCCCTTTAAAGATGACAGATTAGGGCCCTTTAATTATGACAGATTAGGGTCCTTTAATGAGGACGGATTAGGGCCCTTTAATGATGACAGATTAGGGTCCTTTAATGAGGACGGATTAGGGCCCTTTAAAGATGACAGATTAGGGCCCTTTAATGATGACAGATTAGGGTCCTTTAATGAGGACAGATTAGGGCCCTTTAAAGATGACAGATTAGGGCCCTTTAATGAGGACAGATTAGGGCCCTTTAAATATGACAGATTAGGGCCCTTTAATGACGACTGGACATGAAAATCTTACATATTGCTGCTCTAAATACTGGTTTCCGCTCCTAGCTAACCAGAGATCATCTGAAATCCAAATACCAACGAGACGACAGGTTACTTTACACGGAGGAGATCCAAATGTTTAGTCTTCAGAAGGTTCTTGACGCTGAGAATCGGTGCTACGACAATTACTTAAGCATCAACAAAAGTCGGGCTGAAAAGGCTTCACTCGGGTAATGCAAATAAACCGCTCATTATTTACTCCCTAACCCTTAAATGTGTGTTATTTACCAATTTCTGGTGTTGCTGTCAGGACTGAGGAGGCCCGGGACGCAGAGTCGGAGCTGGACGGGCTGAACGAGGCTTTGGCTGAAGGAAAAAAAGAGGTTGAGAAGTAGGTTTCCAAACAGGGCCTTCATCCCCACCGCTGTCAGACTGTACAATAAGTCACTTTAAGTCGCTAATGCGCTAGGACTGAAAAAACCCGCACTGCTATTGCCGCTGTTTCTTTAATGTACATAATTATATCCTGCACAGACTATGTTTTTCACACTTCTGTCTTTTGCACAGTCTGAGTGATTCTGTCTGTGATGTCACATGTATATTTCTTCATCGTGAGATCAATAAAGTTTATCTGATCTTAAAACAAATCAAAACAACTTCTAGGATTATACAGGACCACTGCCAACGAGATACAAGATTCAGAAATGTAGTTTTTCTTGGAATTAACCAAATCAGCCGACAGCAGGTGACAGTGACGGACAGGAGAGGGCAGAGTTATTTTCTTCTGTCGAGTAAAATAAAAATAAAATAAAATAAAAGAGAGAGAGAGAGAGATCCACAGCTGCGTTCATTTATGGCATGTGCTCCTCATTCCTACCGTTCGGGAACTTCTCGGCAAAGATCTCGTATTTAGAGTCATTTTGGGAAACTTTCCTCGCCTGGTTTTTTGTGTGTAAAATTGCTCATAAAACAGTCATCTTTTGATGCAGAGTCAAGCAGTATACTTTGTTTTTTTCAGTACAACCTGGGGTTTTAGAATATTCATATTTTGGAGCTGTCATATCAATTATATAATGATTATGGAATCATGAAGACAAAGAAAAAAATGAAATGGAAAATCAATTTCACAAAATTGTATTGAAAAAACACAATGAAATGCTATAAACAACTTTTTAGACTCCATATGTTATTTATGGTCTTATTTATGGTATTAAGGGGGAACAATATTGAACCAGTGACTATTATAATTTTTACAAAATTCCACTATAAAAGCCAAAAGCGCTGTACTCCTGATGCCCTTCCTCAAGCAGTTTGTCTATGAGGCTGTGGTTGCTTCTGTATCACAGCTACGTAAAACAAAACAAACTAAGACAAAAAATTAAATAAAACATCTAATTTATATATACAAATACATTATATACACATAATATCATTTTACTGTATTTATTATTGTCTATTCTCAATAATGTGCACTCCTGGCTCCTCTGAGCGCTGCTGCCTGTGCAGCAACAAGTAAACACAGGAGTGAGAGATCCTACTCTCTGACGACCCCGTTTGAGTAAACAACTTTACAATTGGCTGTGTGAAGCTCACGAGGCACCGCTCGAAGATCCGATTGGGGGACTGACTTTCATACACACGCAGTTTATCTTCCGTGCATCGCAAAGGCTGGAATGTGTACTTCACGGAGAAACAAAAAGTAAGTTGCTAGCTTTTACGGTTCGCGAGTAAATTGATCACTTGTAAAACATGGCATCGTCTTTTAAGGGTTAAAGGAGCAGTGTGTAAACATGTGGCCAAAAGTGGTACTGCAGCCTCTCCCACTCTCCCTGCCTCAGGTTGCCAGATATGCAGACGAATCCAGCTGGGACCATAACAGCTGAATAGACAGATTAGGGCCCTTTAATGATGTCAGATTAGAATTCCCGTGTTCTGTCCCTCAGAGATCTGGAGCGGATCGATGGCGTCCAGAGACAGTATTCCCACTGCAAAGACGTGATCCTGAAGATATCCCAAGAGGCGCACAAGGCAAAGCTGGAATACGGAAAGTACGGCGCACTCTCCACACACCGAGAATTATGTCACATGATTCAGAGACGGTACTTGAACAAAATCTGATCGAAAAATTTGACAGAAACCCAAAATTTAAAGTAATTTAAATATATATTTTTTTTTGATAGGATCTTGTTTGACAGATTGGAATGATGTTTTTTGCAAGTCAGAATTTTTGTGGCTTGAAAGTTAGTAACACAGACTTTTATATTGCAATGTTTTTGAGTCTTGAAAGTCATAAGTATGGAATTTTGAAACACTGTTTTTCAGTTCTTGAATTTTGTGTGAAAGCCATAATGAAGTATGGGGAAAAAATGTGTAGCGACTCTAGTGCCTATTGCCGCTGGAGAGGAGAAACCGGGTTTGTCTAATTGTATGACGCGCTGCTTGGCTGTCACAGAGCACACTTTGTCAGGGATTAAGTTTGATGGCGTTTTAATGAAAAGAAACACGGAGGTGATAACATAACGTAGACGTCTTGATATTGAACGAAACAGTGAGAAAAACGAAGGTACGAAAGAAACAAACACAAACGAACGGTCAACAAAAACTACGGCGACCCAGCCCCCCCTCTCTACTACTGATTTCATTCATAAAACAGAGGTGAGAACTAAGTAGCCACCGCCCCAGTAACCACGTGACCCACACCCGGCACAACACCCAATCAAATCACCGCCCACTGTTATATTCAACTTATGGCTCCTACAAAATGTATGGTAGAATTTTACAGTGTGCTCAAAGGCAACGCTAGCTTAGCCTCGTCTGCCACATGTTTGTGATGTCACTGCTGAGGTCTGTTGACACGTAGCTAGCCTAGTGGGCAACAGAAATGGGACTTGGAGAAAAAAATGTCTGGAATTTTTATTTGGAAAAAGAGCAAGCACTCTGTTACTAAAAGTCAAAATAAGACAATATTAACATTCCCTCTGGGTTTCTGTGTTTCCAGGAAGATCAAGAGTTTTGGAGAAGACAACGTGAGTTTTGTTTGATCCAAATCGATAGACAATAATAATTACTGTTATTATATTAGTGTTACAGAGCGATCTCCTTTTGACTGGACTTTGTGTGTTGTGTGTGGGCAGGTGGTGTCCACGGTGACGGAGGTCCTGGACGTGATGACGGAGGTGACGGAGCAGAATCTGTCTCTGATTCAGAACACTCCCAAACTGGACGACACGCTGAAGGACCTGAGCCAGTGCATCCTCAGCACCTCCGCCCAGACGTACGCCGCATGGTTCTAATCCCGCTTCAGTTATGGACTCACTGCTGCTCCGACACACGTTAGGCTGAAGCGAACCTGTCCCATGTTCCCTGTCCATGTCTGGGTCGGGGGGTGGTCATCTGGCCCTAGCCCCAAGCTGAGTTCAAAGAAGAACATTTGGGGCTGGAGACAAGTTACCATCTGTATTTTTCAGATTACAACTTGTTGTAGAATTATATACCCCAAAGCAAGGAGAAAGCTCAAAAGGTCTTTGTCTTATCAAAAGCGTAAGTTTATTGTAACGCACGTGCGGAGGGCTGACTACACAGAAACAGCGTGCATTCAGCTCTGGCTCGCAGAGCTCCGAGTTTCCTGTTTACAAGACACACACGAAAGCCAGTCCCGCCCACAACAGATGGGAGGAGGCCACCGGTGCAGGAGGCGCATAGGGATGCAAACAGACTGCAGGATGTAGGAAGTGCACACATACAGACCGATACATATGCAAGAGGTGAAAGGGGGCAAGAGTGATCGCCATTGTCTGTAGGTGTCGGGGGGGCCCGGCTCCTTCCTGGCTGCAGGGACATATGGATAGGAGCAGGCATACCGATTCAAGATACGAAAGACACAAGGGTGTGACAGACAGCAGGGGGCCCTCACAAAGCTCAGCATGGCGTCAGAAGGTCGTCTCTGCATTGATAAAAGGCCTTTGACGTCCGTGTATTAGCTGCGGCTGGTTTTATGTAATTACTCCAAAAACTGTCACCACAAACTCTCTCCAGATGAAAATGTATAAAAAAGGAGAAAACACGTATGAGTCGCAGTTTGTGGGTTTTGATGCCCAAAATACATTTTCTAATACGAATAGAACATTGTTTTTTTTTAGATATTACAGTAAATAAAATACTACATTTATTAATGTAATTGAGGGGCGACAGTGGCTCAGTTGGCCATTGCATTGCCCTTTGGGCATTGGCCTTTTAGCCTGAAGGTTGTGGGTTCGAGCCCACCACTAGACCTACTGCCACGCCGTAAAGATGGCGCCGTGGCAAGAGCTCTGGTATGGTGCACACTGGGGTAGTCTTGCACAGTTTTTCCAATGTGGTTTTACTGCAAATGGCAAATAAAATCCTTCTGATGTTTATTGTGTCCTTGGGCAAGACAGCACCTGCAGGAGGATCAGTGAGGGGCTGGTGCAGCTCTGACTGCCACCACCCCCGCCCCAGAAATGGATGAAGGGGAAGAAAATAGATGGATGGACAATTAATAATTCACACATAAGTCTCACCTCCGGCCAAACTATGACAAAAACTGCGACTTATAATTTGAAGCTCCAGGACTTTGACCCAAAGGGTTCTCAAACTGCTGTTCTCCGGCGGTGACTGTTAATCTGCTTTTGTTTTTTATTCTTTAAAGAGAAGAAGTTGAAGAAAAAGTGTCCCTGCAGATCCTCGACCTGACGAGTAGAGTGGAAGCACAGAGGATGAGTACCGTCAAACTGGAGCAGAAAGTCAAGCTGTACGAAGCCATCGAGACCGACGCCCAGGTAAAGAGGAAGTCCAACTGTACGAAGCCATCGAGACTGACGCCCAGGTAAAGAGGAAGTCAAACTGTACGAAGCCCTGGAGACTGACGCCCAGGTAAAGAGGAAGTCAAACTGTACGAAGCCATGGAGACTGATGCCCAGGTAAAGAGGAAGTCAAACTGTACGAAGCCATCGAGACTGACGCCCAGGTAAAGAGGAAGTCAAACTGTACGAAGCCCTGGAGACTGACGCCCAGGTAAAGAGGAAGTCAAACTGTACGAAGCCATGGAGACTGACGCCCAGGTAAAGAGGAAGTCAAACTGTTCGAAGCCATCGAGACTGACGCCCAGGTAAAGAGGAAGTCAAACTGTACGAAGCCATCGAGACTGACGCCCAGGTAAAGAGGAAGTCAAACTGTTCGAAGCCATCGAGACTGACGCCCAGGTAAAGAGGAAGTCAAACTGTACGAAGCCATCGAGACTGACGCCCAGGTAAAGAGGAAGTCAAACTGTACGAAGCCATCGAGACTGACGCCCAGGTAAAGAGGAAGTCAAACTGTACGAAGCCATCGAGACTGACGCCCAGGTAAAGAGGAAGTCAGACTGTACGAAGCCATGGAGACTGACGCCCAGGTAAAGAGGAAGTCAAACTGTAGGAAGCCATGGAGACTGATGCCCAGGTAAAGAGGAAGTCAAACTGTACAAAGCCTTCGAGACTGACGCCCAGGTAAAGAGGAAGTCAAACTGTACGAAGCCATCGAGACTGACGCCCAGGTAAAGAGGAGGTCAAACTGTTCGAAGCCATCGAGACTGACGCCCAGGTAAAGAGGAAGTCAAACTGTACGAAGCCATCGAGACCGACGCCCAGGTAAAGAGGAAGTCAGACTGTACGAAGCCATGGAGACTGACGCCCAGGTAAAGAGGAAGTCAAACTGTAGGAAGCCATGGAGACTGATGCCCAGGTAAAGAGGAAGTCAAACTGTACAAAGCCTTCGAGACTGACGCCCAGGTAAAGAGGAAGTCGAGCTGTACGAAGCCATCGAGACTGACGCCCAGGTAAAGAGGAAGTCAAACTGTACAGAGCCATGGAGACCGACGCCCAGGTAAAGAGGAAGTCAAACTGTATGAAGCCATTGAGACTGATGCCCAGGTAAAGAGGAAGTCAAGCTGTACGAAGCCATTGAGACTGATGCCCAGGTAAAGAGGAAGTCAAACTGTACGAAGCCATCGAGACTGACGCCCAGGTAAAGAGGAAGTCAGACTGTACGAAGCCATCGAGACTGACGCCCAGGTAAAGAGGAAGTCAAACTGTACGAAGCCATCGAGACTGACGCCCAGGTAAAGAGGAGGTCAAACTGTTCGAAGCCATCGAGACTGACGCCCAGGTAAAGAGGAAGTCAAACTGTACGAAGCCATCGAGACCGACGCCCAGGTAAAGAGGAAGTCAGACTGTACGAAGCCATGGAGACTGACGCCCAGGTAAAGAGGAAGTCAAACTGTAGGAAGCCATGGAGACTGATGCCCAGGTAAAGAGGAAGTCAAACTGTACAAAGCCTTCGAGACTGACGCCCAGGTAAAGAGGAAGTCGAGCTGTACGAAGCCATCGAGACTGACGCCCAGGTAAAGAGGAAGTCAAACTGTACAGAGCCATGGAGACCGACGCCCAGGTAAAGAGGAAGTCAAACTGTATGAAGCCATTGAGACTGATGCCCAGGTAAAGAGGAAGTCAAGCTGTACGAAGCCATTGAGACTGATGCCCAGGTAAAGAGGAAGTCAAACTGTACGAAGCCATCGAGACTGACGCCCAGGTAAAGAGGAAGTCAGACTGTACGAAGCCATCGAGACTGACGCCCAGGTAAAGAGGAAGTCAAACTGTACGAAGCCATCGAGACTGACGCCCAGGTAAAGAGGAAGTCAAACTGTACGAAGCCATCGAGACCGACGCCCAGGTAAAGAGGAAGTCAGACTGTACGAAGCCATGGAGACTGACGCCCAGGTAAAGAGGAAGTCAAACTGTAGGAAGCCATGGAGACTGATGCCCAGGTAAAGAGGAAGTCAAACTGTACAAAGCCTTCGAGACTGACGCCCAGGTAAAGAGGAAGTCGAGCTGTACGAAGCCATCGAGACTGACGCCCAGGTAAAGAGGAAGTCAAACTGTACAGAGCCATGGAGACCGACGCCCAGGTAAAGAGGAAGTCAAACTGTATGAAGCCATTGAGACTGATGCCCAGGTAAAGAGGAAGTCAAGCTGTACGAAGCCATTGAGACTGATGCCCAGGTAAAGAGGAAGTCAAACTGTACGAAGCCATCGAGACTGACGCCCAGGTAAAGAGGAAGTCAGACTGTACGAAGCCATCGAGACTGACGCCCAGGTAAAGAGGAAGTCAAACTGTACGAAGCCATCGAGACTGACGCCCAGGTAAAGAGGAAGTCAAACTGTTCGAAGGCTTTTTTTTTTTGGTGAAGTTAGGAGCTCTTTGGGATACTTAGGCATACGGCCCCTGAGCTCGTGACCCCTGACCCCAACCCTAACAACGCCCCCTCCCCCCTCCGCTGTGTGCAGGACCTGGTGCTGAACGCCCTGGGGGAGATGACGTCCAGGGCCTACGCTCGCTACGACCGCCGGCAGCTGAGCGCCCTGAGCAGCCTGGAGAAACTCACCAACATCGAGAGACGGGTGTGCTCAGTCCTGGAGCAGCTGGAGGCCGTCCCCGAGGACTTTGTGGAGGCCATGATCAAGATGAAGGAGAGCGAGAGGAGGCTCAGGTCAGTCCAGTCCCCACGGATGAAGGAGATTATTGGGGATGATGATGATGATGATGACCTTTAGACATGTGGGAGTAACTCATCTCTCCTGTCACAGTCAGCTGGAGGAGAAGCGGCGTCTGGAGCGACTGAAGCAGAAGGAACGGCAGCAGAAGTGCATGCAGAGGACCTTCAAACAGGCGCCCGGGAAAGTGTGTGCGATCTTCTCCTATGTGTGTGTCTGTGTGTGTGTGTGTGGGTGGGTAGGTAGCAAAGGGTTTAGGAGTGTGTGAGTTTGCAGGTCTCTGTAAGTAAGTAAGTAAGTAGTAAGTAATCTTTATTTATATACCGCCTTTCACAGACCAGAGTCTCAAAGCGGTTTACAATTGTTATTTTTGGGCATTTGTCTCTCACTCCACACAGAGATGGGAGCGGGGTCGCCGAACAGGAGGCACATGCCAGAACTATTGGACATGTTTTTAGTGGTAGGGGAAACCAGAGTACCCGGAGGAAACCTACGCAGGCACGGGGAAAACATGCAAACTCCACTCAGAAAGGCCCTGGTCCGGCCGGGATTCGAACGCAGGACCTTCTTGCTGAGAGGCGAGAGTGCTAACCACTCAGCCACCGTGCCGCCTAGTCTGTGTGAATGTGTAGGTGCGTGTGAGTGTCTGTGTCTAGGTGTGTGTAAGTTTAGGTGTGTGTCCTTTTGTGCGTGTGTAGGTGTAGAGATGTGTGTGTACGTATGAGTCCGTATGTGTGTGTGTGTGTGTGTGTGTGTGTGTGTGTGTGTGTGTCTCTGTGTAATGTAATGTGCTGTGTTGGCCTCAGGGGGGCAGGAGGCTCATGCCGCGGCACATCCCCGTGAGTCGAACCAAAGAAGAAGAAAAGAAAACAGAGCCGGAGGAAGAGGACGACATCCAGGTGTTTCTGTGGGGTCCAAGAAACGCACAATAAACACATTCAGGAAATAAAATAAAATACTTTGTGACTCTGAATCAGAACCCACAAACACAGCTCTCATTTTTAAAAATTTACCAAAGTTTAACCAAATAGAAGTAAGTTATGTTTAATTATATACTGCCTTTCACAGACCAGAGTCAAAGTGGTTTACAGCTGTTATTTTTGGGCACTGGGCCAGTACAGGAGGCGCATGCCAGAACTGTTGTACATGTTTTTACCTGGAGTACCTGGAGGAAACCTACACAGACACGGGGAGAACATGCAAACTCCACTCAGAAAGGCAAATAGAAAACATAAAACCAGGGCCATCATTAACCCCTTCATGTTCACTCCTTTTTTTCCAAGATGTAGGAGCATAACACTTTTTTTTTCTTTTAACCCCTTGTTTTTTAATGGACCTTTAACAAATGATTGAGGAAAACATTAAAGACTCAAACTAAATATTAAAATGAGGTTTATTATTAAAAAGAGCCTAATTGAGTAGTTTCAGGGACTGGTTTTGTAGCAACTTTTCAGGAGAAAATAAATCCGACTTAAGGCAAAAAGCAAGTGTTCATTCATATTCTTTTATTATAACATTTTATTGATGGTGTGGTACATACAAAAGATAGCAAACTAAATAAGGCAAATAAATAGAGGTATAATTTACAGGTAAATGGAACATTCCTCAGATGTGTTTCTTTTGTCAAACATCACGAATGGTGAGTACAAAACGCTTTTTTTTAACCACTGTACATCTTTCGGTGAAGGATATTTTTTCCCCGACCGTAAAAATACTGACTCCTTACGATTTTACAACCTCAAAAATTAGGTTCAACTTTTTTCTTAGTCCTCACGTCACGGGTCGATTCTTCTAAAAGACTCCTGGTTCATGCAGGCGGAGCGTCCACTCTTCAAAACCAACGCTGCACAAATCCTAAACGTCCCGTAGTACAAAAAGTGCATTAAACAGATTTCATTCCTCTGTGTTTCCCGCGGTTCGCCAGTCAATGGCCCAAACACGATTGTGAAATAATACTGACGACGCGGAACTCTGTAGGAAGTAGAGCCAGCTATAAGAACATAAAACATTACGCTTCCATCGGGTTAGGAGTTTAAATAGTCAAAGTCTGGATCACAGAAAGGAAAAGTGCAGAGGAGAATAACACCAGACACAAGTTCAGGATGAAACGGCTCAATCTGAAATCAACATGTTCAACTAATCACGCCATGTTTTTGGTTCGCCCAAAAAATATATTAGAAAATGACCTAGTTTGAGTTACTGTTGTCATGGCAATAGATGGTGATTTATTTAGATTAAACTAGCAAAAAAGAAACTACACGACGGATGCAAGTGGCACGTTTGACCACAAGATGGCGCCCAGATCTTGACTGACTGAATGATTGGACTGTTCGTCTCTGGGCAGCAGCAGACTCAGGCACTTAACTTCAATGAAAACAGTGGAAAGAGTGATATGACCGCCTTAAGACCGCCTTAAGACCGCCTTAAGACCGCCTTAAACCAGGAAATGCTCAGTTAAAGGACAGAGACAAGATTGGCTCGAATCTGTGGGATTGGACCTGATACACGCAGCGTTAAGATTCGTTTGTTATGAGTTTGTGGAATGCAATGAGAAACGATTTCAGCCCAAATTTCTCAAGTTTTCAGTCTTTGATCCGCTTTTAGAGGAGTGTCTTTGCATCTACTCAAGTGCTCTGTGTGTGTTCTTGGAAATAAATACAAACTAAAATATAGAAGAACTAAAATAAATTATCGTTGTAGCACCAGTCGATCAAATCCAATATCAAGGAAAGAAAAAAAAACCATATAAATCCATATACTGCACGGCGTCCTTCATGACCGTAAGTGCAGCTGATACAGAACAGGGTCATTAATGGAGTAGAAGCTACAGGTGCACGAGTCTCCTTTAAACAAAGCCTTGTGCACAAAGAATGGAAAAGCTCTTGGCAGTTAGCTCGTCAGAATCTAAATATAAATATATATATATATGTACTGATACACACATAATGTATGGACACTTTTATACACCTTCTCGAGCGCAATGTACAAACTTAAAGGTGACAGATGCGTGAATCCGTTTGGCACGTGGAGTATGTTCGGATGAAGACCCGTCCCTTCGCCGTCCGCTACGTACAGCTCAACTCTTTATCCCAAAGTTCAGGATTAGCTCCTGCCAAAAGAGCAGTGAGCGGAATGGGGACAGATGTAGCGGCGAATGCGGTCACAGTGGTCTGTCAGAGTCTGTCAGCGGTCATCGGGCTAGCTCCATCTTCGACAGGTGGGTGGAGCTTCATGGGCGTCCATCTTGTGGCTTTCTCTGTGTCCGGTCAGTAACATCTGAAGGTGAGTTTGAAATCGTTCCACCGTGTTCGTCTTTAGTAGGTGACCTTGGAGACGGCGCGCTCCCGGCCGCCGCTGCCTTCCACCAGCTGGTTCACGGAGCGCTTGCGGTTTCGTTTGAACTTGTTGAGGTCCTTGTCGAAAACTTCGCCGGAGCGTAAAGCCGACACCAGGTCGTCGAACTCTCCGCCCACTTCCTCCGTTGTTCCCGGCTTCTTGCTGCGACGCTCGCGCTCCCTCTGCTCCTTCAGCTGCAGCAAAACGACAAAACGTTAACATTAGACAAACGTGTTCGACTGTGTCTTTTAGAATTAGTTTCCAAGTCATTCATTTGATCTATGCCTTTAACTTGACAGCAATGAATGAATTAATGTATTTATTAATGTATGTATGAAGATTAGCAACACCATTGGTGGAAGCTAAACAACAATAAGTCAGATTCATCGTTACTCTACCAACGGGGACTGTATTGCTCTGCAGGATTGGGCAAAATACTGGCTAGATTTAACCAACATTAACCTATGGACCAATGGGCTCCTTTCTCATTACCATTGCATTTCCTGTGTTCTAATAGTTTGACTATAACCTGCTGATGAATCGACAATTTTGTAAAGTTCTTTGAGAGCTGAAGTGATGGCTGTAACAAAAATAGAGAATAATAAAAATAAAGAATTGAGCCGAAATGTGGCATGTAGATGGAATTCTCTTTTCTGTGTCTTATCTGTAGATTCTCTGATCTGTGTTGGTGATTTTAATGGTTTTGTGAAGTCTCAGATGATGCTGCTGTGATTTGGGGCGAAACTAGAAAACATTGTATTGTATTAATATGATTTTAGGAAGACCCCATGTCGAGCCGTCTAAGCTTTCTAAATGTGTTCTGGTTCAGCTCAGAACAAAAACCTCCAACCCAAGTGAAAACCTGTTTGTGGGGTTTGATGTGAACAGTGCATTACCATGGCCTCCATTCGAGCCCGTCTCTCCTCCTCCTCTTTGCGCCGTTGCATGTTCTCCAGGTCTTGTCTCGCTTCACCGAACGACTGCATGAATGTGTCAAAGATCCCAAAGAAGTCGTCGGGCTGCAGCCGTCCTTCGTCTTCCCCAAAGTGTCTCAGGGCTTTGGAAAACTGCAAGAAAAGAAACGTGTCAAAACTTGCATCACAAACTTTCAATTTCAGTTTTTTTCCGTTTTATAATGACATGGGGAGTCCTGAAACTGCAGTCTGACCATGATCCTGTCAGACCTCTGAAGCTAAGCAGGGCAGGGCCTGGTTAGTGTTGTGATGGGAGACCTCTGGGAACAGCAGGTGCCACAGTGGGGCGGCTGCGGCTGTAAAATGCCAAACTGTGGCTGTGTCCTTAGGCAAGACACTTACAATGACAGGTTCAATAAGTCTGGTGTGTGTGTGAATGGTTGGTGGTGGTGGGAGGGGCTGATGGCACAGACTGGTTGCCTCGCTTCTGTCAGTGTGCCCCAGGGCAGCTGTGGCCACAGTAGTTTATCACCACAGTGTTTGGAGAGAAAGAATAGTGATGTGAAGAGACTTTGAGCGTCGTGAAAAGCGACGCTCACGCACGGTGGAAGCCCATGTTCCACCACCACTCTCTGGGTGCATCTATGACTGGGTGGCCCCGACCCGGAAATGGATGAAGGGGAAGAAGATGGATGGATATTATTAACATTAGAATAACAAAGCGACTGAAGAAGCTCCATGTTGGACCAGCGTATGTCCACGCCGCGCCGCCATCTGCCTCACACACTTTGCCAAGACTCTCCGCCCACACTTCAGCCAGTCACAAAACAAAATGCTCAGTTATTTTCAGTTTTTCAGCGATTCTACGACTGAATGTGTGGACACCGTTTTTAAAGCCTGTCAAAGTCTTTCTCCTTCACCTTTAACCTCAGCTGTACTTTTCACAGAGAGATTCCGTGGTGTCTCGTGACTTCTCCAGTGGTCGGGACGCTCCTGTGGCCTCGAGTGTGAGGATATGAAGTACTCATTCTTTTTCTGAGGATGCAAAACCATCCTGTTATTATGGGCTGGTAGCCATGGCAACCACCGCCACCATCCCTCTCTAACGCCTGTAATTATGTGTCTGGTCAGATCTGTTTCCTGTCGTCCCCCTGGGTCTGTGCTAAACGAGTAAAAACACACACACGTCGAAAAATAGTCAAGTTCAAATCCCAACAAGCCATAAACAACTTTCCAAGAGGAGAATGTCTTTTTTTGCCTTAAATATAGTTTACTTGACACGGCCTTGTTGCCTGTGGTGAACATGAAGCTCCGTTATAGCAGCTTTTTGCAGTGAACCTTTGGCTGGACACTGGCCGCTCAGACACAAAAGCTGGAGGGATTTTCTGATGACTGGCGCTTGTGCATGTTCTCACGTGGGTTTACTGACAAAGAAAGTGGGTAAAAACTCTACTGTAGGAAAACATTGACCTGAAATACAGACGGGGAGTCGCACAAAAAGCCAGAAGCAACAGAATTCTCCAGTACAGCTCTACATTCATCTGCCTTCTTTAAGGGAAGTGCATTTGAGATTGATCTATACGACAGGACACGCACAAATGTGAGTTGGCTTCTGTGGATCATTATTAGTATATAATAATAATAATGACCACGCAACAAGTGAATGTATGTGTATGTAGATGGGGTGAGGAGGAAAAAGTATATCTGTATTTATGTCAAATACCTGTAGGAACCTGAAAACGTCAACATGCAAACTCCAAAGAGCAGACGGGAATTGAACCCGTGATCTTCCTGCTGCGAGACTCTCATATGGATCACATTTTTCTACAAATCCAGTTTACAACGAGATTTCTCTGATATTGGTGATGTTTTGCTAACTTGGAGATGCTATGCTAGGGGCCTGTTTCTCCTGAAGGGTTGCCGCCTGCTGGCTATCCTCTAAAAATCCTCTGGCACCGCCCTAAGTTGGTTTAGGTCTTACCTTGAAGACAGGAAGTACTTTGTGGAGATTGGAAACTGTGTCTCAGATCATATGGCCCTGACCTGTGGAGTCCCACAGGGGTCGATCCTGGGACCTCTTCTGTTCAATCTCTACATGCTGCCGTTAGGTCAGTTAATACGCAGAAACAAAGTTTCCTATCATAACTATGCAGACGACACTCAGATCTATGTCTCACTGACTGCAGGAGAACATGGACCAGTGGACTCACTCCTTCACTGTATCCAACAGATCAGTGAGTGGATGCAAAACAACTTCCTTCAGCTAAACGCAGACAAAACTGAAATGATTGTCTTTGGTCCCCAGAAACAAAGAGAGAGCGTCATCTGTCACCTACAGTCTCTCTCCCTAAAACCTTCAAACAAGGTCAGAAATCTAGGGGTAATACTGGACTCAGACTTAAATTTTAAAAGCCACATCAAATCAGTAACATCAGCAGCTTTTTACCATCTAAAAAACATTGCCAGGATCAAAAACATAGTGTCTAAAGCAGACTTGGAGATTCTTATCCATGCATTTGTCTCCAGTAGGTTAGACTACTGCAATGGCCTGCTCACAGGTCTGTCCAAACAGGCTGTAAAACAGCTGCAGTACATTCAAAATGCAGCAGCTCGAGTCCTGACAAGAACCAGGAAGTACGACCACATTAGTCCAGTTCTCAGGTCTCTGCACTGGCTTCCTGTGGCTCAGAGAATAGACTTTAAAACAGCTCTGCTTGTTACAAGTCTCTCCATGGCCTCGCACCAAAATATATTAGTGACATGTTAGTCCCATATGAACCAGCCCGGACTCTGAGGAGCACAGGGACTGGACTCCTGCTGGGACTCTGAGGAGCACAGGGACTGGACTCCTGCTGGGACTCTGAGGAGCACAGGGACTGGACTCCTGTTAGTGCCCAGAGTCAGAACTAAACATGGGGAGGCTGCTTTTCAGATTAATGCTGCTAAAATCTGGAACAGTCTTCCTGAAGATGTGAGACAGGCCTCCTCTCTGACAATGTTTAAAACCAGGTTAAAGACGGTTCTGTTTAACTGTGCATACAACTGAGGGATTTTATATTTTTATCTTTCTTTTTAATGTTCTGTGATAATTTATGATTTTAATGCTTTCTTGTTTTGTTCAGCACTTTGAATTGCCTTGTGTATGAATTGTGCTATATAAATAAACTTGCCTTGCCTTGCCTTGCCTTAAAACAGGCATGTCCAAACTCAGGCCCGAGAGCCGTTTGCGGCCCTCTGTGCCCTTTTATGTGGCCCTCTACTGCTAACACAAAGTCACCATTGAGGTCCTTTGACAGTGTCATCCATCCAACTTCAGCTCCACCAACACAGTCATGCTGTACCTTGTCGTTTATCTCAGACTCTCTGGAATCCACTTGTTTACTTTATTTCTATTTACTGTTTTAAGATGAGGGTTTCAGGGTTTCTCTGTCTCTCACTGGGGAAATGTGGTACATTTGGCACAGACAGAATCACTCAGATTTGTGCAAAGGACAGAAGTGTGAAACATGTTAAAGGTTAAATATATAGCCTGTGCAGGATATAATTATGTACAATAAAAAAGTGGCAATTAAAGAAACAGTGGCAATAGTAGTGGTGTTTTTTTAAATGATTATGTCTAAGCACTCCAAATAAAACACAGCTGTGAAGTGAATCCATAAGGACGTCTCATAACATACATTTTAATTCCAGAATCCAGTCAATCCAGTTTTTAAATCCAGGTTATCAGCCCCAGCTCAACTCTGATGAACCCATGTGGCCCTGGGTTCATGTCAACCCTCTCTGCGAATGAACCCTGGAGGACGTCCTTTTCCTGCAGCCACCCACACTCCACATTCTGCCGGAGACACGTCCAAACGCTCCGTCAGACTCTCCACAAACACAACCTCTCTTGTTTTACCGAAGAAACCAAAAAACCCCGGAGCAGCCTCATATTTCCTTTGACACCAACACTGACCTATGTTTTTTTTTAAACTTCTTACGGCTGTCAAGAAAATCCCTGTTCCAAATGTTTTATGTCAAGTCCCGTTTGGAGGCTGCTTTGTGTTTTGTTGCTAACGTGTCATCGTCAAAATGCTAAATGCTAACGGAGCAGCAAAGGGCAGTGACTCAACGTTAAAATAAATCTGTTTTCTGCCGTCGTCTCCCAGATCCTCTCCGAGTCCCACAGAAACTTTCACGTTACACATTTCCAACAATCCATCAGTGTGCGGGTCCAGAGTTCAGAGGCAGCGCTAAATAAACTAGCTATTCTCTCCATTTTCTCTCTTTTTGACACTTAAAAAAGGCCTCATTTCTCCCACTTTACCACAATCCCCTGATGTGAAGATTTGCACTGTAAAAAGTAAAGTCTGGGTCCGATTTATTCACTAAAAACAACAAAAATGATGCTTATGTTGATGTTTTTGTTGCTTGAATGTAGTTTGTCATGAGATTATTTTCCCATCCATCCATTTTCTTCCCCTTAATCCATTCCAGGGTCGGGGGTGGCAGTCAGAGATGCAGCCAGTACACGTAGCACCAGACCAGATTATTTTACTAGTTTTAAGATCATTCCTAATCTTGTGATGCTATAATTTAAGAAAAAATGTCTCAAAAACGTTTAAGAAATAATTAAATAATTCTTAAAATGTGTGTTTTTTAACTAAAACTCATCAAGTCGTTTGGGGCTAGTTTTATTTTATCATTTTCAGAAATCTTGAGTCATATTCTCTCCGGTCTCTCTAATAATAATAATAATAATACATCAAACTTGTAAAGCGCTTTATAGCTCCGGTCTCTCTCTCTCTCCGGTCTCTCTCTCTCTGGTCTCTCTCTCCCTCCGGTCTCTCTCTCTCTGGTCTCTCTCTCCCTCCGGTCTCTCTCTCTCTGGTCTCTCTCTCCCTCCGGTCTCTCTCTCTCTGGTCTCTCTCTCCCTCCGGTCTCTCTCTCTCTGGTCTCTCTCTCCCTCCGGTCTCTCTCTCTCTGGTCTCTCTCTCTCTCTGGTCTCTCTCTCTCTCTGGTCTCTCTCTCTCTCTGGTCTCTCTCTCTCTCTGGTCTCTCTCTCTCTCCGGTCTCTCTCTCTCCGGTCTCTCTCTCTCCGGTCTCTCTCTCTCTCCGGTCTCTCTCTCTCCGGTCTCTCTCTCTGGTCTTTTTTTTTTATTTAAGCAGTATTTTTTAAACTTTTTCCATATTTTTTCCAGGGATTTTTGCAGTGTAGGCCGTAGTATTGAGACACCGCGGAGCCACCCACATGCACTACCCACATGCACTAATCCAGCCCCACATGCACCACCCACATGCACTAATCCAGCCCCACATGCACTCCCCACATGCACTAATCCAGCCCTACATGCACTACCCACATGCACTAATCCAGCCCTACATGCACTACCCACATGCACTAATCCAGCCCCACATGCACTCCCCACATGCACTAATCCAGCCCCACATGCACTACCCACATGCACTAATCCAGCCCCACATGCACCACCCACATGCACTAATCCAGCCCCACATGCACTCCCCACATGCACTAATCCAGCCCTACATGCACTACCCACATGCACTAATCCAGCCCCACATGCACTACCCACATGCACTAATCAAGCCCCACATGCACTACCCACATGCACTAATCCAGCCCCACATGCACTACCCACATGCACTAATCCAGCCCCACATGCACTACCCACATGCACTAATCCAGCCCCACATGCACTACCCACATGCACTAATCCAGCCCCACATGCACTACCCACATGCACTAATCCAGCCCCACATGCACTACCCACATGCACTAATCCAGCCCCACATGCACTACCCACATGCACTAATCCAGCCCCACATGCACTACCCACATGCACTAATCCAGCCCCACATGCACTAATCCAGCCCCACATGCACTACCCACATGCACTAATCCAGCCCCACATGCACTAATCCAGCCCCACATGCACTAATCCAGCCCCACATGCACTAATCCAGCCCCACATGCACTCCCCACATGCACTAATCCAGCCCCACATGCACTAATCCAGCCCCACATGCACTAATCCAGCCCCACAATGCACCACCCACATGCACTCCCCACATGCACTAATCCAGCCCCACATGCACTAATCCAGCCCCACATGCACTACCCACATGCACTACCCACATGCACTAATCCAGCCCCACATGCACTCCCCACATGCACTAATCCAGCCCCACATGCACTCCCCACATGCACTAATCCAGCCCCACATGCACTAATCCAGCCCCACATGCACTCCCCACATGCACTAATCCAGCCCCACATGCACTAATCCAGCCCCACATGCACTCCCCACATGCACTAATCCAGCCCCACATGCACTAATCCAGCCCCACATGCACTCCCCACATGCACTAATCCAGCCCCACATGCACTAATCCAGCCCCACATGCACTCCCCACATGCACTAATCCAGCCCCACATGCACTCCCCACATGCACTAATCCAGCCCCACATGCACTCCCCACATGCACTAATCCAGCCCCACATGCACTAATCCAGCCCCACATGCACTCCCCACATGCACTAATCCAGCCCCACATGCACTCCCCACATGCACTAATCCAGCCCCACATGCACTAATCCAGCCCCACGCCGCGCTTCACCAGTGAATGCAGAAGAATGTGAGTACCTTGTCCTTGGCCTCACTCAGCTGGTCCTCCAGTTCAGAGAAGCTAAAGCCGGCCACGGTGATGAAGTCTCCGATTACAGCCACAAACTTATCGCCGCGCTCCCTCATTCTGCTCTGCTGGTACTGAAGCTCCTGAAAGATACACATGTTTTCAGTGCAAAATATTGGGATTTCAAAAGGCATTTATGGATTAGTTTATGGAATAGGGACGATGCACATGAACATTGACGTATTTGTCTGAGACCGGTGATTTCTGTCAAACTTCTCTCTTTTCCACTGGAGATTACAGGAGAACAAAACTATCTGGAAACAAACTTATTTTTGCTGATGAAAGTAGACAGTCCAGTCTTTCAGAATCTGGTTTCATATTTCACGCAGTCAGAGCAAACAATATTCTGTGGGTCTTGAAAGTCAGTGAGTTACTGTACTGTACTGTCAGTGTTAGCTAACAGGAGGTCAAAGTACACTGCAAACATTACAATATAATAATAATTAGTTAAAACATTACAATTTAAAACCGGTCATTAAAACATATAAATTAAACACATCATGAGTGGTTTTAATCTTGATTGTCCAATAAACAGGTTTTTAATGTATGTTTAAAAGTCTTCTTCCAAAAAACATACATTATATTAGATAGTTGTGTTTTGTTTGTTAAAGTTAGGTACTCCAGCTTTAACACACTAACAACACACACTCAGAAAGGCCCTGTTCCGACCGGGATTCGAACCCAAGACCTTCTTGAGCTTTGGTGCGGGTTTGTCACGTGCGGTTTCTCTTTCCCTCAGAACATCAGCGGCACTTAAAACACCTCGCCTTCAAGACATGATTACAGACACCAGGTGAGCCAGTACCAGGAAGACCAGAACCAGGAGAACCTAGCACCAGGAGAACCTAGCACCAGGAGAACCTAGCACCAGGAGAACCTAGCACCAGGAGAACCTAGCACCAGGAGAACCTAGCACCAGGAGAACCTAGCACCAGGAGAACCTAGCACCAGGAGAACCTAGCACCAGAAGAACCTAGCACCAGGAGAACCATCACCAGGAGAACCTAGCACCAGGAGAACCTAGCACCAGGAGAACCTAGCACCAGGAAAACCAAGCACCAGGAGAACCTAGCACCAGGAGAACCTAGCACCAGGAGAACCATCACCAGGAGAACCTAGCACCAGGAGAACCTAGCACCAGGAGAACCTAGCACCAGGAAAACCAAGCACCAGGAGAACCTAGCACCAGGAGAACCTAGCACCAGGAGAACCATCACCAGGAGAACCTAGCACCAGGAGAACCTAGCACCAGGAGAACCTAGCACCAGGAAAACCAAGCACCAGGAGAACCTAGCACCAGGAGAACCTAGCACCAGGAGAACCTAGCACCAGGAAAACCAAGCACCAGGAGAACCTAGCACCAGGAGAACCTAGCACCAGGAGAACCTAGCACCAGGAAAACCAAGCACCAGGAGAACCTAGCACCAGAAGAACCTAGCACCAGAAGAACCAAGCACCAGAAGAACCTAGCACCAGGAGAACCTAGCACCAGGAGAAACTAGCACCAGGAGAACCTAGCACCAGAAGAACCTAGCACCAGAAGAACCTAGCACCAGGAGAACCTAGCACCAGGAGAACCTAGCACCAGGAGAACCTAGCACCAGGAGAAACTAGCACCAGGAGAACCTAGCACCAGGAGAACCTAGCACCAGGAAAACCAAGCACCAGGAGAACCTAGCACCAGGAAAACCAAGCACCAGGAGAACCTAGCACCAGAAGAACCTAGCACCAGAAGAACCAAGCACCAGGAGAACCTAGCACCAGGAGAAACTAGCACCAGGAAAACCAAGCACCAGGAGAACCTAGCACCAGAAGAACCTAGCACCAGAAGAACCTAGCACCAGGAGAACCTAGCACCAGGAGAAACTAGCACCAGGAGAACCTAGCACCAGGAGAAACTAGCACCAGGAGAACCTAGCACCAGAAGAACCTAGCACCAGGAGAACCTAGCACCAGGAGAAACTAGCACCAGGAGAACCTAGCACCAGGAGAACCATCACCAGAAGAACCTAGCACCAGGAGAACCTAGCACCAGGAGAACCATCACCAGAAGAACCTAGCACCAGGAGAACCAGCACCAGGAGAACCTAGCACCAGGAAAAGAGGTAGAATCCTGGTAGAGTACCAGGAAAAACCAGGACCATGGATCGTGGACTCACCGCCTCGAGTGCCTTCAGTCCGCTTTTGATATGATGCACTTCTTTTTCTAAATCCGCCAAGCTAGCAAGACCAAAAAGAAGCAAAGTTATTAGAAAATGGCCTCTTAATATGGCTACATAATATACACGTAAAAATTTGGTCAAAAAGTGGACTTACTTCACTTTCGCAGCCTCGGGGACACTGCCGAGGTCGTTTTGGATCTGCAGCGTGTCCGGATAGTTCTTCTCAAAGATCATGATGAGATAGTGCAACATGGTAATATTCCTGTTAAAACAAAACAAACATGAACAATACATTAAAAAGATCAGTATCTGAGAATAATGTGTCTATAATTCTGTTTTCTTCTGCTCCATTTGAAACCGGGCTGTTTTCTGGCACTGATTTACACCACATGACATTTGGATATTTTGGGTTTGAGCATCGGGGGAGACATTACACAGGCTAAATGAGGTCTCACATCATCTGGACTACATCTCCCATCATGCACTGGGAAAGGCCAAACAGGAAGAGGAGAGCTGGCATGAAGTCGGAGGTTCTTTGAGTTTAGGTCTGAGCAGTGGAAAACATGGCTGTACTTTTGGTGTGGTCTGTATTTGCCCCGTTACCATGGTTACACACACAACAAGCTGAGTCTGTTCAAATCCCTTTCTAAATATAAGAATTTAATTTACATTTATAGTCACGGTTTTGTGGTCAGTCCAGTCCTGCTGAGTCCAGAGTCCTGCAGAGTCCATAGTCCTGCTCAGTCCAGAGTCCTGCTCAGTCCATAGTCCCGCTCAGTCCAGAGTCCTGCTCAGTCCATAGTCCCGCTCAGTCCATAGTCCCGCTCAGTCCATAGTCCCGCTCAGTCCATAGTCCCGCTCAGTCCATAGTCCCGCTCAGTCCATAGTCCCGCTCAGTCCATAGTCCCGCTCAGTCCATAGTCCCGCTCAGTCCATAGTCCCGCTCAGTCCATAGTCCCGCTCAGTCCATAGTCCCGCTCAGTCCATAGTCCCCCTCAGTCCATAGTCCCCCTCAGTCCATAGTCCCCCTCAGTCCATAGTCCCCCTCAGTCCATGGTCCCGCTCAGTCCATGGTCCTGCCATGTTAAGTCCTGACAGCCCAGACTCTCACCTGTCGATGCTGGACTTGGTGTCAGCGATTTTGTTGAGGCTGGAAACCTTGAAACCGAAGGCGTTTCCTCTTTGGCCTTTGTTCATGAAGTTCCCAAACGCCAAGACCACCTCCAGGATCTGAGTCAGCCGCTTACTCCGGACCACCTCCTTCGATGCGCTCAGGAGGGCTGGAAGAGAAAGGTGCAGTTGGAGATTTACACAGTGGATCTCTGAGTGGGATTCAAAGTTTGGAGATATTTGAGATTTTTAACATGAACAAACTGTATGAAAAGCCAGAGAAGGTGAATTTATACTTTATTGACCTTTGTAGGTAAATTAGTCTGCTGCTTTTGAACTATGCGTCTGATGTTGATGATCTTCAGGACCAGAGCTTGAGACTATAACTATTGCACAAGTTTTAGTGGTCGGGAATTACTGGAACAGACACAGGGAGAACATGCAAACTCCACTCAGAAACTCCCTGTTCTAACCAGGATTCGAACCCAGGACCTTCTTGCTGAGAAGCGAGAATGCTAACCACTCAGCCACTGGTTATTAATTCGATTATTCATAGTGGTTTAGATCCCCTATGCTTAAATGGGATTCTTCACACATTTGACCAAAACAAAGCTGAATGAAATCAATGAACTTGTTACAAACTTATTTCACCGTAAAAAGCATAATACAAGCACTAAAATCAATCAAAATAAATGAGGAACATAAAAGGAAACCTGTCATAAATAGTTGGCATAAATTCATATAAAACATTGCATTATTTTATATGAAAGTAAAAGGGACATTAAATACAAGGAAACAGCAGCAGGAGGTTCTTCTCGCTCGATCAATGTGGAAATGTTTTCAACTTCACTTGTTCATTACACAATCTATCCAAGATTCACAGACCAAGGTCACCCAAAGCACTTTACGATTGTTCAGATTTCAGATAGTTTTTCCTTTCTCTCCACACGGTGAAGACGAAAGAGAGACTTGAACACAGTGGTCCATCAAAGCCTCCGACCAAACACCTTCCATTCACTCTCTCATTACATTCAGACCTACTGTGCATGTTTTTAGTGGTAGGGGAAACCGGAGCACCTGGAGGAAACCTACGCAGACACGGGGAGAACATGCAAACCCCACTCAGAAAGGCCCTGTTCTGACCGGGATTCGAACCAAAGTATCCAAATATGTGTTTTTTCCCCTTGGCGTCTGCCCAGATGTGACTGTACATGACCCTAAGCGTTTTACAGCGGACATTCCTCAGTGTGATGGATCTGTGTGTGTCTGTGTGTGTGTCTCTGTGTGTGTGTCTCTGTGTGTGTCTGTGTGTGTGTGTGTGTGTGTGTGTGTGATGGATCTCTGTCTGTGTCTCTGTGTGTGTGTGATGGATCAGTGTGTGTGTGTGTGTTGGATCTGTGTGTGTGTGTGTGTGTGTGATGGATCAGTGTGTGTGTGTGTGTGATGGATCAGTGTGTGTGTGTGTCTCTGTGTGTGTGTGTGATGGATCAGTGTGTGTGTGTGAGTGTGTGATGGATCAGTGTGTGTGTGTTGGATCTGTGTGTGTGTGTGTGTGTGTGATGGATCAGTGTGTGTGTGTGTGTGTGATGGATCAGTGTGTGTGTGTGTCTCTGTGTGTGTGTGTGATGGATCAGTGTGTGTGTGTGTGAGTGTGTGATGGATCAGTGTGTGTGTGATGGATCAGTGTGTGTGTGTGTGTGTGTGATGAATCAGTGTGTGTGTGTGGGGCGTCCGCAGGGAACAGGATCAGTGGTTTCCCCCAGCAGTCCCCGCTTTGGCAAAGAACAGGTGCTTCCAAACGTCTGTGAAAACCATCAACTACAGATATTATTGTTCCTGAATCCACTGCAATTATCTGCTGTGTTTAATGTCTTTAAAAAGGTCAGTGGAAACCATGGGTGGTCCATACAGGTAGGTGGGGATGTGATATCAGTAATGGGATAAGATAAGATAAGATAAACCTTTATTAGTCTCACAGTGGAGAAATGTCAGTGTCATCGTTGCACATTACAGCAGAGAAAGGAAATAAGACTCAGACGCACACATCAAAGTCTATTATTTAAGATAATAGACAATAAATTTAAGATAAAATAAAATAAAATAAACTCTGGGCTATAATTGCACTTGGTTCGAAAGTATTTACAGATGTCTATATTATACATTAGCAGCAGAGAATATGTGAATATGAGCAGAATAAACATCAGAAATAATATCAACAGGTAAAGTGACTTGAATGGGAGAATTATCAGATGGATATGAATAATACAGTAAGATATCAACAGGTAAAGTGACGGTGGAAGGCAGAATTATCAGATATGTAATAATACTGCAGTACTGATAACAGGTAAAGTGACTAGTGACAAAGTTACTAGTGAATTATCAGTGACACTTGTGCAGACTCAGCAGTTTCTGTTACACATTCTCGTTGTACAGTCTGACAGCAGCAGGAAGGAAAGACCTGCGAAACCTCTCCTTCACACATCGAGGGTGAATTAGTCTGTCACTGAAGCTGCTCTCCAGAGCAGAGAGAGTGTCCTGCAGGGGGCGACAGTCATGGTCCAGCATAGATGTTAGTTTGTTCAGGACCCTCCTGTCCCCCACCTGCTGCACTGTGTCCAGGGAACAGCCCAGGACTGAGCTGGACTTCCTGATGTTCCAGCTTCTTCCTGTCCCTCTCTGTGATGCTGCTGTTCCAGCAGACCACACCGTACAAGAGGCTGAGGCCGCCACAGAGTCATAGAAGGTCTTCAGGAGTGGCCCCTGCACTCCAAAAGACCTGAGCCTCCTCAGCAGGTAGAGGCGGCTCTGGTCGTTCTTGAAGAGGGCGTCTGTGTTATGAGTCCAGTCCAGTTTGTGGTTCAGATGAACACCCAGGTACTTGTAAGAGTCCACTCTCTCAATGTCCTTTCCCTGGATGTTCACTGGAGCTGGAACAGCAGAGTGACGTCTGCGGAAATCCACCACCATCTCCTTGGTCTTCCCCGCGTTGATGAGGAGGATGTGTGAGTGTGTGTGAGTGTGTGTGATGCAGTGTGTGTGTGTGTGAGCTGCAGTGTGTGTGAGCTGCAGTGTGTGCGAGCTGCAGTGTGATGCAGTGTGTGCGTGTGTGTGTCCGTGTGTGTCTGTGCGTGCATGTGTGTGCGCACGTGTCTGTGTTTGCAGTAGTAATTTCATCTGAGAAACTTCTAAAACCTTTTGGGTAAAACTTTTACAAGACACCAAACGGCTCTGAGCGTGATGTCATAGAAGTACAAGTTCCTGATATGAGCGTGGCTGGATCTAAAAACAACTCCAGGTCTGTTTTTGATGAATGAACCAGTCTATTTCACTACAAACGGCATTTATTCCAAAAGATTCTAGATGGATCGATGACATTGCTTGAGCCGTGTGTATCCGTCTGCTCATGACTCGGACAGTAGATTTAAGATATGTACACGTCACATTTGGCACAGACAGAATCACTCAGATTAAAAGTGTTAAAGGTTAAAAACATAGTCAGGATATAATTATGTAGAATAAACAGTGGCTGTAGTCGTGCAGGTTTTCAGTCCGAGTACAATAGTGACTTATTGTATTCAGTGGGAAAACTCTTGGTAGTAGTTTGTGACAGCTTGGAGCCTTCCCACACACACGTCCGTCAGGGCAGCTGCGGCTTTATGAGAAAGGCTCTTCCCTCTCAACACAAGCCAGCTTTCCAAAACAGGCTCTTGGCAACTGAGGAAGAAGACTGCAGCGCTCAAACTACTGAGAGAGCACCAAGTTCAGCAGATCCTGTTGGGAATACTCGGAGCTGCTGACATGTTTAGAGGCTCAAACATGTTTTTGCTTGTAAACGTCTAAGTGTGTACAACATGATGCGGCTCGGTCCTGTAATCTTTCACTTGATTTCTTTTATTGCATATGTGAGAGAGTTCTCAACATCACGGCACAAGCGAAGGAATACATTTACTTCTGTAAACGAAACAAAAACTCAATATTGTGCAAAAGTGCAGCTTCTGGGTCTGTGGGATTTCATAGGCCGCTTTAAAAGAGCGATTAAACACCAGCGCCCAGCCTGACTCCGCCCACATGAACAGCCCGACTCCGCCCACATGCACAGCCTGACTCCGCCCACATGAACAGCCTGACTCCGCCCACATGAACAGCCTGACTCCGCCCACATGAACAGCCCGACTCCGCCCACATGCACAGCCTGACTCCGCCCACATGAACAGCTCGACTCCGCCCACATGAACAGCCTGACTCCGCCCACATGAACAGCCTGACTCCGCCCACATGAACAGCCTGACTCCGCCCACATGAACAGCCTGACTCCGCCCACATGAACAGCCTGACTCCGCCCACATGAACAGCCTGACTCCGCCCACATGAACAGCCTGACTCCGCCCACATGAACAGCTCGACTCCGCCCACATGAACAGCTCGACTCCGCCCACATGAACAGCCCGACTCCGCCCACATGAACAGCTCGACTCCGCCCACATGAACAGCCTGACTCCGCCCACATGAACAGCTCGACTCCGCCCACATGAACAGCCTGACTCCGCCCACATGAACAGCTCGACTCCGCCCACATGAACAGCCCGACTCCGCCCACATGAACAGCTCGACTCCGCCCACATGAACAGCCCGACTCCGCCCACATGAACAGCTCGACTCCGCCCACATGAACAGCCTGACTCCGCCCACATGAACAGCTCGACTCCGCCCACATGAACAGCCTGACTCCGCCCACATGAACAGCCTGACTCCGCCCACATGAACAGCTCGACTCCGCCCACATGAACAGCCCGACTCCGCCCACATGAACAGCTCGACTCCGCCCACATGAACAGCCCGACTCCGCCCACATGAACAGCTCGACTCCGCCCACATGAACAGCCCGACTCCGCCCACATGAACAGACTGACTCCGCCCACATGAACAGCTCGACTCCGCCCACATGAACATTTGAAAATGTTCTCTATAAAAGGTTTCCCGAGGACCAGGAGACAAGAAGGGGGGCTGAGAGTTGGGCGTGGTCTGGGCTGTGATTGACAGCTCACTTGTCACACACAAAACAATCAGACAGTTGACATTGCTGCTTAAAGCAATAGTTTACGCACCAGAAAGTCTCATTCCCTTGTTTACACACTAAGAGAGCTACACACCTGAACCTAAGACACAGAATTATTGCAGCAGTAGTGGCGGTCAAATGATGTAATTTGGTTTTAATCCACTAGATGTCGCCAGAATACTCCGACTCTACTGGGGGTGTGTGAGACTTGGATGCTTTTGTACCACAGGCGCAGAGAGACGCACGTCACTCCGGAGCCAATGAGAGACCAGGCACAAGATTCAAATATAGTACCACCAAAAGGACAGAGAGGGCGCCACACAGGCGCTTTTAGGCTCAAAAATTAGATTTTATCTAATTTGCACTAAAATGTCAAAACCAGGACATGTAGAAAGCACTAAAAGATACATATTTTTTGCAGTTTATGAGTTTAAAAAGTTGATTTGGGGTTAGTCGTCCTTTACCTTCAACTTTGGGCTTGGTTTCAGCGAGTCGTTCAGCAAACTTCTTCTTGAAGAACAGCGCCTGCAGCCGCTGCTGGTAGTGGTCGATTCTGGAAATCAAAGAAACATTTATTTTACTTTTAAATGTGTTTCAAATGAAAGTAATGCACCAGAAGCGATCGCAGCTCAGTATAACCCAGTTCATAGAACAATAGAATCATAACACAGAAGGAACTCTGAACATTAGAATATCATTCAAAAGTTATATATCAATAATTTTTATAATTTTAAGGTTTATGGATTATAGTTACATTTTCATACAATTATAATTCTCTGAGATGTTTCGTTTTTTAGATTTGCTGCGAGCCAATTATCAAGATTATAACAAAGGCCCTACATCTCACTTTACGTCTAATAAACATACAACTTTATTAAATTTGATGTTTTAATAATCTGTAATTGTAATAGTTTTTATAATCTTAATGTATCCAACTTTTGTCCAGGACTCTCTTGAAAAACGGTTTCTCAATGGGACTTTCCCGGTTAAATAAACGTTAAATAAAAAATAAGTCAGTCATATATTTTAGTTTCATATTCACAGAAGTAAATAGACTTTTCAACAATATTTTAATTTTTTGAGTTTCACCCGTACGCAGGAAAACATGTCAAGGCGTAAGAAAAATACAATGATTTACAATAGACAATTGCAGAAACTAATTTTCAAACACAAAAGAAAACCACTGAGCTACGATGTGCTGATGCGAAACGGACTCAAGGACGGAGCGATACTAAAAACACGTCACATCAAAGAGTAAAAGTAAAAGTACTGGTACCGGCTCATCTCGAAGAGGAAGCGGTCGGCTCGGGCCATGCGCTCCAGCTCGTGCTTGTGCTCCTCCAACAGGTCGATGTCGCTCTTCTCTGGGATGAACTTCAGCAGCTAAAGAGACAACAACATTATAAGTATATTTTAATCAAAAAGAGAACATAAAAGACAAAAAGTAGAATAAAAAACATGTTTGAGGAAGACAATGGTGGCTTTGAATGTACCCAGCTCTAACAAAGATGTAGCAGTGAATGAATGAATGAATGAATAAAAAGCTTGAAGTCTGTAAGTGCACAAATTGACCACTAGAGGTCCCTGCACCAGCGCTTGAGAAGCCGCCCAGTCACCTGCTCCAGCATGTCTTTGGCCAGCTCCTCCCTCTCGTCCATCTCCAGAATCGCTCTCTTTATCTCCTCGTTGCTCATTTTCAACCTGGGAATAAGAAGCGTACATTACAAACTGTCAACTTTGTATTCTTTAAAACGACCATTATTGATGATATTATCCCAATTACAGGCACTGCGAGTGAGGCCCGGTCTAGTCTGGGACCCGGGCCAGCTGCTGTGTGGACCGGGGCGGATCGATAAAGGCATTGTTAGTCTGTGCATCAAAGCCATGTTGACATAATCCTGACCCCTTTAAGCTTCGGCTGGTGCCCTGGGGTCTTTTCACCATGGACCGACTCTTCACGATCCATACAGCAGTGATTTCAGACAGAGAGGTTTGAGAAAGCTACAGTTATTGATTGGAAATGGGAGGGGAGACGAGGAAAGGGGGCCCTGGGCGATTACCATTTAAATATATACAAAACATAATGCAGAGTGGTTTTGTTTTTAAATGATGGGAATTGATCGGAGACCGCAGTGAGACTATGTTATGCAGCTGATTGATTGGGAGTGTCTTTAAAAGGACATAATTGTAATTCATTATTGAGTTTGACCAGCACAGAAAGACCTTTAGGGATGAAAGAAAATATCACAAAACTAAAATGAGGTTGCCAGATAGTAGTCTTTGCAAGTAATATTTCTTTTTGTGGTGTTCAATGTTTTAAGAAGCTAAAATAAATTATAGACCGGGACATGCTCTTGGTGAAATAGAGCGAAAGATCTGTCAAAATGTACTGTATCATGAAGCTAATTCAAAGACCTTCACAAATACTTTTGAGACCTCCCACACCAGATTTTAAGGACTTTTTAAGACCCTGTAGAAACCCAGAAAGTTACATCCAAGCACAAAGAACAAAGAACGGTTTCCAAAGCTGTAGAAAGTGCTGGATTGGGAACACAACGAGACCAAGCGAAGCGGCTGCAGACTGAGTGAGTGTGTGTGATGGGGATTCTCTGACACACATTACGACTGTTGCTCTCCGACACGCATTACGACTGTTGCTCTCCGACACGCATTACGACTGTTGCTCTCCGACACGCATTACGACTGTTGCTCTCCGACACGCATTACGACTGTTGCTCTCGACGACACACGCATTACGACTGTTGCTCTCCGACACGCATTACGACTGTTGCTCTCCGACACGCATTACGACTGTTGCTCTCCGACACGCATTACGACTGTTGCTCTCCGACACGCATTACGACTGTTGCTCTCCGACACGCATTACGACTGTTGCTCTCCGACACGCATTACGACTGTTGCTCTCCGACACGCATTACGACTGTTGCTCTCCGACACGCATTACGACTGTTGCTCTCCGACACGCATTACGACTGTTGCTCTCCGACACGCATTACGACTGTTGCTCTCCGACACGCATTACGACTGTTGCTCTCTACAGTCGTAATGTGTGTCATTACGACTGTTGCTCTCCGACACGCATTACGACTGTTGCTCTCCGACACGCATTACGACTGTTGCTCTCCGACACGCATTACGACTGTTGCTCTCCGACACGCATTACGACTGTTGCTCTCCGACACGCATTACGACTGTTGCTCTCCGACACGCATTACGACTGTTGCTCTCCGACACGCATTACGACTGTTGCTCTCCGACACGCATTACGACTGTTGCTCTCCGACACGCATTACGACTGTTGCTCTCCGACACGCATTACGACTGTTGCTCTCCGACACGCATTACGACTGTTGCTCTCCGACACGCATTACGACTGTTGCTCTCCGACACGCATTACGACTGTTGCTCTCCGACACGCATTACGACTGTTGCTCTCCGACACGCATTACGACTGTTGCTCTCCGACACGCATTACGACTGTTGCTCTCCGACACGCATTACGACTGTTGCTCTCCGACACGCATTACGACTGTTGCTCTCCGACACGCATTACGACTGTTGCTCTCCGACACGCATTACGACTGTTGCTCTCCGACACGCATTACGACTGTTGCTCTCCGACACGCATTACGACTGTTGCTCTCCGACACGCATTACGACTGTTGCTCTCCGACACGCATTACGACTGTTGCTCTCCGACACGCATTACGACTGTTGCTCTCCGACACGCATTACGACTGTTGCTCTCCGACACGCATTACGACTGTTGCTCTCCGACACGCATTACGACTGCATTTACGACTGTTGCTCTCCGACACGCATTACGACTGTTGCTCTCCGACACGCATTACGACTGTTGCTCTCCGACACGCATTACGACTGTTGCTCTCCGACACGCATTACGACTGTTGCTCTCCGACACGCATTACGACTGTTGCTCTCCGACACGCATTACGACTGTTGCTCTCCGACACGCATTACGACTGTTGCTCTCCGACACGCATTACGACTGTTGCTCTCCGACACGCATTACGACTGTTGCTCTCCGACACGCATTACGACTGTTGCTCTCCGACACGCATTACGACTGTTGCTCTCCGACACGCATTACGACTGTTGCTCTCCGACACGCATTACGACTGTTTGCTCTCGACACGCATTACGACTGTTGCTCTCCGACACGCATTACGACTGTTGCTCTCCGACACGCATTACGACTGTTGCTCTTCGACACGCATTACGACTGTTGCTCTCCGACACGCATTACGACTGTTGCTCTCCGACACGCATTACGACTGTTGCTCTCCGACACGCATTACGACTGTTGCTCTCCGACACGCATTACGACTGTTGCTCTCCGACACGCATTACGACTGTTGCTCTCCGACACGCATTACGACTGTTGCTCTCCGACACGCATTACGACTGTTGCTCTCCGACACGCATTACGACTGTTGCTCTCCGACACGCATTACGACTGTTGCTCTCCGACACGCATTACGACTGTTGCTCTCCGACACGCATTACGACTGTTGCTCTCCGACACGCATTACGACTGTTGCTCTCCGACACGCATTTCTCGACTGTTGCTCTCCGACACGCATTACGACTGTTGCTCTCCGACACGCATTACGACTGTTGCTCTCCGACACGCATTACGACTGTTGCTCTCCGACACGCATTACGACTGTTGCTCTGACACGCATTACGACTGTTGCTCTCCGACACGCATTACGACTGTTGCTCTCCGACACACATTACGACTGTTGCTCTCTACAGTCGTAATGTGTGTCATTACGACTGTTGCTCTCCGACACACATTACGACTGTTGTTCACTGACACACATTACAACTGTTGCTCACTGACACACATTACGACTGTTGCTCTCTACAGTCGTAATGTGTGTCATTACGACTGTTGCTCTCCGACACGCATTACGACTGTTGCTCACTGACACGCATTACGACTGTTGCTCTCCGACACGCATTACGACTGTTGCTCTGACACGCATTACGACTGTTGCTCTCCGACACGCATTACGACTGTTGCTCTCCGACACGCATTACGACTGTTGCTCTCCGACACGCATTACGACTGTTGCTCTCCGACACACATTACGACTGTTGCTCTCTACAGTCGTAATGTGTGTCATTACGACTGTTGCTCTCCGACACACATTACGACTGTTGCTCACTGACACACATTACAACTGTTGCTCACTGACACACATTACGACTGTTGCTCTCTACAGTCGTAATGTGTGTCATTACGACTGTTGCTCTCCGACACGCATTACGACTGTTGCTCACTGACACGCATTACGACTGTTGCTCACTGACACGCATTACGATTGTTGCTCACTGACACGCATTACGACTGTTGCTCTCCGACACGCATTACGACTGTTGCTCTCCGACACGCATTACGACTGTTGCTCTCCGACACACATTACGACTGTTGCTCTCTACAGTCGTAATGTGTGTCATTACGACTGTTGCTCTCCGACACACATTACGACTGTTGCTCACTGACACACATTACGACTGTTGCTCACTGACACACATTACGACTGTTGCTCACTGACACACATTACGACTGTTGCTCACTGACACACATTACGACTGTTGCTCTCCGACACACATTACGACTGTTGCTCTCCGACACACATTACGACTGTTGCTCACTGACACGCATTACGACTGTTGCTCTCCGACACACATTACAACTGTTGCTCTCCGACACGCATTACGACTGTTGCTCTCCGACACGCATTACGACTGTTGCTCTCCGACACGCATTACGACTGTTGCTCTCCGACACGCATTACGACTGTTGCTCTCCGACACGCATTACGACTGTTGCTCTCCGACACGCATTACGACTGTTGCTCTGTGACACGCATTACGACTGTTGCTCTCCGACACGCATTACGACTGTTGCTCTCCGACACGCATTACGACTGTTGCTCTCCGACACGCATTACGACTGTTGCTCTCTGACACGCATTACGACTGTTGCTCTCTGACACGCATTACGACTGTTGCTCTCCGACACGCATTACGACTGTTGCTCTCCGACACGCATTACGACTGTTGCTCTCCGACACGCATTACGACTGTTGCTCTCCGACACGCATTACGACTGTTGCTCTCCGACACGCATTACGACTGTTGCTCTGACACGCATTACGACTGTTGCTCTGACACGCATTACGACTGTTGCTCTCCGACACGCATTACGACTGTTGCTCTCCGACACACATTACGACTGTTGCTCTCTACAGTCGTAATGTGTGTCATTACGACTGTTGCTCTCCGACACACATTACAACTGTTGCTCACTGACACACATTACAACTGTTGCTCTCCGACACGCATTACGACTGTTGCTCTCCGACACGCATTACGACTGTTGCTCACTGACACGCATTACGACTGTTGCTCTCCGACACGCATTACGACTGTTGCTTTGACACGCATTACGACTGTTGCTCTCCGACACGCATTACGACTGTTGCTCTCCGACACACATTACGACTGTTGCTCTCTACAGTCGTAATGTGTGTCATTACGACTGTTGCTCTCCGACACACATTACGACTGTTGCTCACTGACACACATTACAACTGTTGCTCACTGACACACATTACGACTGTTGCTCTCTACAGTCGTAATGTGTGTCATTACGACTGTTGCTCTCCGACACGCATTACGACTGTTGCTCACTGACACGCATTACGACTGTTGCTCACTGACACGCATTACGATTGTTGCTCTCCGACACGCATTACGACTGTTGCTCTCCGACACGCATTACGACTGTTGCTCTCCGACACGCATTACGACTGTTGCTCTCCGACACACATTACGACTGTTGCTCTCCGACACACATTACGACTGTTGCTCTCCGACACACATTACGACTGTTGCTCTCTACAGTCGTAATGTGTGTCATTACGACTGTTGCTCTCCGACACACATTACGACTGTTGCTCACTGACACACATTACGACTGTTGCTCACTGACACACATTACGACTGTTGCTCACTGACACACATTACGACTGTTGCTCACTGACACGCATTACGACTGTAGCTCACTGACACACATTACGACCGTTGCTCACTGACACACATTACGACCGTTGCTCACTGACACGCATTACGACTGTTGCTCACTGACACGCATTACGACTGTTGCTCACTGACACGCATTACGACTGTAGCTCACTGACACACATTACGACTGTAGCTCACTGACACGCATTACGACTGTTGCTCACTGACACGCATTACGACTGTTGCTCACTGACACGCATTACGACTGTTGCTCACTGACACGCATTACGACTGTTGCTCACTGACACGCATTACGACTGTTGCTCACTGACACGCATTACGACTGTTGCTCTCCGACGCACATTACGACTGTTGCTCTCCGACGCACATTACGACTGTTGCTCTCTACAGTCGTAATGTGTGTCATTACGACTGTTGCTCTCCGACACACATTACGACTGTTGCTCTCTGACACACAATATGACTGTTGCTCTCTGACACGCATTACGACTGTTGCTCTCCGACACACATTACGACTGTTGCTCTCCGACACACATTACGACTGTTGCTCACTGACACACATTACAACTGTTGCTCTGTGACACACATTACGACTGTTGCTCTGTGACACACATTACGACTGTTGCTCGTACTTTGAAAGCAGGATGACACAGTTCTGGGCGCGGCGACCATCGATGACCGACAGCTCTTTGACCTTCTTCGTGCTGACGTACAAGTCGTCCATGGAACCGGTTTCTTTCTGCAACAAAATGAAAACGAAATCTTACAGCGGCTGCCTCTGGCTTCTACACATTAATGAAGTTATTGTTCTGGACGGATTTGAAGGAAAAGAGAAAAAATACTGATGCTTCCATAAAGACTGAGAAACGCTGGTTTGATTTGAAGGTTGGACACGGCTCAGTTTTCCGTGAGCGGCTTTTGAAGTGGAGTTTGTCGTGTGTTATGAGGAAGCCACAAAGAGAGTATTGTTAAAGATTGAATTAGGAGCTGTGTGCACGGATGAAAGCTCAAACTGCAGCACGCTTGGGTAAGGATTTCATTTACTTGAGTGAATCTTGAATGACTTGTCGCGAAAGGAGTTTTTAAAAAAACTTTCCCAGTCTATAATGAGGAATAATTCCGTATAGAAACTGTTCAAACAATGTGTGATACCAATACATATATTTCAGCTTCTTGTTATACGCAACACTATCCCTTTTTAATTATACTGTATAATAATAATACTTTGGTTTTATATCACGCTTTTCAAAAACTTCAGGACACACACATTTAGACAGACACGCAAAACTAAAATCCAAAAGCAGGAAAGAAGAGAACAAAGTTGAAACTAAGAGTCATATACTGCATAATAATATATAGAGTCATATATAATAATATGTTCTTTATACGTACATTTATGGGCTTTCAAACATTAGGGCTGTCAAAATTATCGCGTTAACTCACGTTAATTACATTTTTCATTAACGCGTTAAAAAAAAATTAACGCATTAACGCACGTCCGAATGACCCGCCCATTTATCCATAATATCACTCAGAATGCTGCGTGTGAGATGGCATCAGAGCAGGTAGGCCCTCTGAGGATTCATGTTTTAAAAGAATACGCGCGCCACCGCGGGGCTGAAGTGAACTGAAGTCCGCCTCCTCCGTGGCCGCTCTGACTGTGAGCCGCTCACAACAACACGGCTGTGAGCGGCTGTGAGTGAATGGCGCCGCGGTAACATGGTCAAATAAGACCAAACACGCCACAGAACTATTGTCTGCATGTTGTGTTCGTGTCTTTGCAACCTGTGCGTAACCTGTGCGCGCAAATACACCGCTAAAGTGTCCCTGTCTTTTCCTGAAACTAAACTAAACTGAAACGCTGAATTAAAGCTGGGGTATGTAAATTTCCCCCTTTCATTAACAGCTCATGTTGGTTTTGCCCAAAAGCAAACAGATTTAAGTACATTTGGTATGAATGACATGTGTCATTATATTTGATAATCTCATTTAACTTCAATTGGAGTGGATTTGAAATAGAATGTTAAAAATGCGATTAATCGTGAGTTAACTCACCATTTCTGTGCGATTAATCAACTAAAAATTTTTAATCGTTTGACAGCCCTAATAAACATATATATTAAAGGTGAGGTCAGTATGTATATTTCATTTTTTAAATAATGTGTATTTATGACCATGGGATGCTGTACTGCCATGTCATTTTCAACAACATTATTTTAAAACCTCCCATTAGCATAACTACGACCAGAGAATAGTTAAACAACATTTCGTCCAATCAGAAAACAGCAGCGATGAGCTCCTCTTCAAAAAGTTTCACTCTGACATTAACTTTAATAACAAAACATTCTTAATATCCATTAGTTATGCAGTGCTTTCCATATATTTCCAAATACTGACCATAAACTATAATAATGTATAGTTCTAATAATTGCTTGGGGAGAATAGTTAGAGCAATGGGCAGGTATATCGTCAATCAACGATAAATATATTTCGTCCAATCAGGAAGCAGACGGAGTAAACATGGGCGGGTCTTAGTTATAGCAATGGGCAGATATTTTTGATCACAATCTCAGCTATTTATAACACTAATCTTTTTGGGGTAGGAGGGTTTGTTGTCATAGATACACAAACTTCTGACTTATTTTGTTGCTCTGGTATTTGATTTATTCTATTTTCATGTATGTATTTTGTAAATAGTGCGTGATCACATGACGCCTTAAAATCAGCACAGTGTCAGCTGCGACACACTGCCCTGAAGAAGACTTGTCAAAACACGTTGGTTCAAAATGATAAAGAACAGTTTTCAGAGTGCCTCCTTCTCCATTTCTTTCATTGCAAACAGTTTTCTCAAACCCACGAGTTGGATGAGCTCCTGTAAGTGTTTTTACTATCGTTTGATCCAGAGCAGCACTTCTGCAATCCGCAGGTATATCGTCTGTCAATCAACAGAAGCAGGAATGTGAGAGAAGCCGGGCACAGAAGCTGCACGTTAAACACTTCTCTTTGTGGTCCGTGTTGGTTTCTGGGCATGACGTTTGAGAAACAGATGCAGCTTGTAAAGAAAATGTCATTTTTCCAGCGGCCGCAGTGACCGGAGCAGCCTGGCACAGTCTGGCACAGTCTGAGGTTGGCGCGAGGTGAGAGGGCGACTCCCATTCACTGGTGCACGGCCAAAATCAACTCACGCTAAGCTAACCAAAAGTACCCGCTAGCTCCACGCTTTCTAAAAATATACGTTTGACTAAGCTCCGCATTGAACGGTCGCGGACATTTCATGACTTTTTTGTGCCATTGACCCAAACGTAACACCTTAAAACAGTTTAGTACTTTACTGAGCCTTTTATGACTCATTCTTTGAAATCCTGACCCTTCCCACAATGCACTTGTCCAGGAGAAACATCTATTTAGAAAAAGCTGAAATGCTGCAACAAGAGAAATAATTGAGAACATGTGAAGACCTGGAACTCACCTGTTTGAATGATTGGTTAGTGAGCAGGTCCTGCGCAGGCAACCGAAGAGTGCAAAGACACACAAATCAGAAACACATGCAGACATTAGCATTTCAGGCCAAACCATGAGCGAGGACGACAGATATACTACTACTTTGCCTTCTACAAGCCGGAAAAAAACCCCATTTCTACTGCTGAAACCATCACAGACTCATGGCAGGAGATTTATCAGCACTAAAGTCATGGAAGGGATTTCACTAACCCTTTAATGTTGAAGAAAGCAATGTTTTTTTTTCTTGGTTTGATTTTGTAAGATGTTGGAGGAACTGATAACATGTTTTAACCCCTAGCTTTCAATGTAGGCCTTTACTAAAATGGTTCAGATTAAGATTGAAGTGACTGTGGCGATGATCCAGGACACGAAAATTCTACTACTTGGAGCGACAGAAGCCCAGTTGTAGAGCGCCTTTGAGCCAGAAGGTCATGGGTTCGAGCCCACCTCAAGACTTTCTCCGACTCCCACTGACGTCTGCTGTCGTTGTGTCCTTGGGCAAGACACTTAACCTCTGAGAACACCTAATGCCACAGTGGGGCGGCTGCAAAGTGCCAAACTGTGGCTGTGTCCTTAGGCAAGACACTTCACCCCCATTGCCTAGAATGAGTCTGGTGTGTGTGTGAATGGTTGGTGGGGGTGGGAGGGGCCGATGCCACAGACTGGTAGCCTCGCTTCAGTCAGTGTGCCCCAGGGCAGCTGTGGCTACAGTAGTTTATCACCACCGTGTTTGGAGAAAGAATAATCATGTGAAGAGACTTTGAGAGTCCAGAAAAGTGCTAAATAAAACCGATGCATTATAATTATTATTTATTATTATGAAATGTGTATTTTACGTGTCTTAACTGTTGATTCTCTGATCTGTGTTAATGATTTCAATGTTTTTGGAAAGTCTCTGAGATGATGCAGTTGTGATGTAGGGCAGTGTATTGTATTGCTCCAATGGTAGATTTCAGTTCCAAGCTTCAAGTAGATTTACCGATTCAAAAAGTGATCCACCAAATGGTTGAGGAAACCATTAAAGGGCTAAGGTGCAGGGTGGTCATTGTTCAACACATTATTCTGATTGCAACTACAGCTGTGTTGACGTGAGAAAAACAAGGACATGAAAAATGAGAGTGTGGCCAAGCAGCAGAGGACGAAAGTTAAAAAATCCTCAATATGTCTAAACTAAAAACCATAAAAAAGGCCTCGCTTGCCTTTTTGTTTGGTTTTAGGGAACGCTCGTCCTCTCGTCCAAATGGAGCTGCTTGGTCAGAGCCAGGAAGATCTCAGAGTTTTATGTGGCTTGATCCTTAGAGATCTACGTTCAACCATTTACTGAGCCAATAAAAACGTGCGCTGCATAAATAAATACTCGCAGCAAATCACTGTCAGCAGCAACCTGGACTGACCCACGAGAGCCCGGAGCCGCTTTGGCACATCGGGGGTCACCTCAAACACAACTCTCCACTCAATCATTTTAAAAAGGGCTTTCCGTGGAGTTTTAAGCCGTACATAAACACAGTAAAGCTAGAATTATGAGCGCATTAAGGAATCCATCAGATCAGCTTTCAACAGAGATGGAGTCGCTGTGTGTAATTATGTGTTCGTTTGTGGCGCAGTGGGAAAGATGTGCTGCGTGGTGTCATCAAGAGGAAACAATTACCCCTTAGATAGTCTGTAGAGCCTGATGCTGGAATCAATTGCTTCCTTTTTAAAGACCAGGAAACCCCCTCGTGTACCATGAGTCCTCGTGACCAGTGCAAATGACTGGCTTCTCTGTGCGATAGTAAAACATGACCCTGTGATGGTGTCGTCACTACACAAGTCTAGAAAAGATGCTACACAGCAAAGCCTTAAAGGAGCAGTATGTAAGAATGTGGCTAAAAGTGGTACTGCAGCCTCTCCCACTCTCCCTGACTCAGGTTGCCAGATATGCAGACGAATCCAGCTGGGACCATAACAGCTGAATAGACAAGAGTTTTGTCAACAACAAATCTATAACCAACACCTTTTTCACAAAGATAGAAATCCTGGTTTTATTCCTTGTTTTGTCGCTAATGATTTGAGAATCATAACGAGACCTTTTTTTAGTTCTGTGCCACATGGTACTTTACCAGTGAGATTAGCTCCACGTGGTGAGTTCTGGCGCCCGGATCACAGACTTTCTGATTGGTGAAACGGTGGAGGGCGGGACATCGAAATGAAAACAATAACAAGATTTAGAGGCTGGAAAAGTAATTTAGAAATTCAAATATCTCTGAACTAATGTTATCAGTTAAAGAAGTATTGGAAAAGAGCAGTTTATTATTATGACAGATTAGGGCCCTTTAACGATTACAGATTAGGGCCCTTTAATGACGACCAATTAGGGTCCTTTAATGATAACAGATTAGGGCCCTTTAACGATGACCAATTAGGGTCCTTTAATAATAACAGATTAGGGCCTTTTAAGGATGACAGATTAGGGCCCTTTAAGGATGACAGATTAGGGCCCTTTAATGATGACAGATTAGGGCCCTTTAATGATGACAGATTAGGGCCCTTTAATGATAACCTGACATGAAAATCTTACATATTGCTCCTTTAACTGTCATTAAAGCATCAGGTTGAGAAACAGCACATGTTAGCTCGAAGCCGAACTCCCCGACCACACCCACTTCTTCCACTGTTGCTTGGTATTTGTAATAAAAAACCATGCACAAAATTCATCATATTTATATAAAAATCAGTAATTGATGCGAACCTGCTGCCTCTGATAGGCTGAAAACATCTTCTCTATGTCTTTTAGGTCGAGGATTTCAAACGCTCTGAGGTCATCGATCTCGTTCCAGATCGTGCCGTTGAGCATGTGCTAAAAAAGGAGAAAGAAATTGTTTTATTTGAGTCACTCGAAAGAACGATGAGGAGTTCTTCACGGTCTTACCTCCCCCAGTTTGGCCCAGTTGAAGGACTTCAGAGGATGCGACGGTTGAGGGATGGACCTGGAACGCTGCGAGTGCGTGGATCCGAAGGAGAGAACGGGAGGTGGAGGGGCGCCGAACATGGGTGGGGCTCCTGGAGGAGGTGGCGGGGCCCCGGGGGGAGGTGGAGGAGGCGGCGGAGGGGGGCAACTCATGGGAGGAGGTGGGGGAGGAGGGGGGAAGCCGGCCGTCATGGGGGGAGGAGGAGGGGGAGGCAGCATGGGGCCAGCAGGACCCCCGGGGGGAGGGGGTGCAGGCGGGAACGTGCCAGTCTACACAAGGGAAAGAAGGAAACAGTTTTTACACGTTACAAGCTTGTTTTGACAACACTAGTTCATGACCGGCGACTTAGAAGTCTTACAATGAGCAACCATTTTCATTATCACAGCGTTATTATTAAAGTCTAGGCTTATGGTGACCAGTTTACAACAAAAATAAACAAAGAATTAGGATTTATGGTGCTTTTGATCCATAGATTCTGGCCCTATCCTGATAGTTACCTGTATTCTCCAAGATCTTATTCAGAACACCAAGTATTGGTCTGAACCCCTACGGTTTCTCTTCCTCTTGAACCCACGGATATTTTACTCCCAACATGTATTCATTTATCTTTATCACAGTTTACTGCCATATATGTACAGTATTCATCTTATCATAGCATTGTCAGGGTTAATGGAGTTGTCACGTCACTAATTGCTTTCAGTGTGACTGCTTTAACACCTCCATGATCCAGATTCACACATGGTCTTGGAGTTGAGAAAATCACAGTAAGTGTTAGTGTTTATCAGCGCTGGTCTGAGGGATTAAAATCAGGAGTTACAGTCACATGTGCTCTGCATCTTGAACTGGGAAATCCACATGACTGATCTCTACGCTCACTAAACTTGGTCAGTTTGTACGAACAGTGGCCGCCAATTTGTTGCGAACGACATGAGACAGCGATGCATTTAGAAAGAGCTGCTTACGGAGATGTCGGTGATGCGCGAGGACAGGTCCAGGACTTGTTCCCGCGCTGATCGCAGCTCCACGCCCTCTCGCTGCAGCTTGTCCTTCATCTTGTTCAGGGTCTTCATCATGTCGTCTTTCTCCTGAGTCTTCGTTTCACATTCACGTTCCTTTTTCTCGAGTTTGGCCATCAGTTCTGCATGATCTGTGTGCGAGAAAACAGAAGAGGTCACTTTTTATACATGTGCCGGAATATTTTTTATATTATTGTTAGATACATTTAGAATTATACATTTAATTGTGTGGATGGATGTGTTTCTGCTGCTACTGGACACCTGCATTTCTCCATCTATCCTCTAAAACAGGCATGTCCAAACTCAGGCCCCCGAGCCAATTGCGGCCCTCAGTCCCATTTTCTGTGGCCCTCTGGTGCTGACACAAAGTCACCATTGATGCACTTTGAACAGTGTCATCCAACCAACTTCAGCTCCACCAACACAGTCATGCTGTACCTTGTTGTAAATCTCAGACTCTCTGGAATCCGGTCGTTTACTTTATTGTTATTTACTGACATTTGTTTATGATTGTGTGACAACATTTCAAATAAAACACAGCTGTGGAACAATAAAGACATTTCAAAACCCATTTTAAATTCCAGAATCCAGTCAATCCAGTTTTTAAATCCAGGTTGTGGGTCCCATGTCAAGTCTGATGAACTAAAGTAGCCCTCTTACTAAAAAGTTTGGACACCCCTGATCTAGAAATACGTTAAAAATCAACATTATCTCAGTGTGTGGAGTTACTCTTTGGAGCAACTGAAATTCCTTTTAAATATCCAAAAAAAAAAAAATGGAAAGTGATGCCCACAGCACAGAGCAAATGAGAGGTGTAGGGTCAGAGAGTGTTTGGCCCTGTGTGTTTGTCTGCGTAGATTGTGTGTGTCTGAGTATGCTTCGTCCAACTCCTTGTCCAACTGTGCATTTCTGTTATATTGAATGAAAAAGTTTGGAGAATGATAATGTATATATATATATATAGGTGTGTGTGTGTGTGTGTGTGTGTGTGTGTGTCTGTGTGTGTGCACTTGTTTTCAACTCCTGGTGGGTTCCATAACCTGAGATTCCACTCACGTCATGGGGACTGGTTTTACGTGGTGGGGCCCGAACACCGGACCCCACTGGTCCAAGCTTAATAATCAATGGGTAATGCTTTTCTAACGGTCCTTATGCAGTCTCTGTAAAAATATGGAAAGGACCCCTGGAGGTTTACTTTCCTGAAAAAAGTGTGTTATGTGTCGGAACCCTGGTGGTGGGTTGCGGGATATCAAGGAGGGGCACACTGGGGCAATTTCAGTCCAGCAGGCTGGAGCCAATCATGGAGCAGCACAACAGAGGAAATCAGGTGTCAGGCTAGAAAAAGGTGCAAGTGTGTGGTTCATTAGGCTGCAAGAAATCATGGAGGAGCACACTGAAGCGCACGCTTACAAACCACTGGTAAGTGCTGACTACAAGTCATGACTTCAAATTGTTATATAGAATGATTACAAATTATTTGTTGTTTGTGCAGCTTAGTCAAGAGTCCCTAATTGATGAAGTCGACTCAGATTCTGACGATTTAACTGTCAAGAAGAAACCTGTAAAAAAGTATGGAAAAAGAAAAATCAAAAACACTTTTCTTCAAGACTCGGAAAGTGACGAACCAAAGGCAAATAAGATTGTTATCATGCAGCTGCAAAAGAAGAAAAATGGGGGGCGAGTATACAGCAAGAGACACTTCTGCCTCTACTGTTCAATGTCCTGCCACAAAATGTCCCGTCATTTGACTAGAAAACATGGAAATGAAAGTGACGTAGCCAGAGCATTGGCTCTACCTGTGAAATCTAAAGCACGTAAACTTCAGTTTGATTTGATCAGGAATAGTGGAAACCGTGAGCACAATTTTGAGGTTTTAAAGGCCGGCATTGGAACTTTAGTCCCAGCTAAACAGCCAAATTCCCCAGTTAAATCCAGTGAGTTTTTGCACTGTATAGACTGTGGGGCATTGCTTAAGCGAAAGTCGCTGTGGAGGCATGTGGCCAGGTGCCGGCTTTCACAGAAAGATGCCCAGGCTAAACCAGGTAGAAGTAGGGTCCAGTCCCTCTGCTCCCTAGCCCAGCCTGTACCGGAGGGCATCAGCAAAAAGCTGTGGTCTTTAATTTCGGCAATGCATCAGGATGAGGTCACGGGTGTTGTCAAAGCAGAAAAGGGGATTCTGAGACTCGGAGAGCACCTGTACTTAAAACACGGGCATGATAAGACTAAGCATGATTACATTAGGCAGAAAATGAGAGAAGTCGGTAGGTTAATTAACGAAGAAAAACCGCAGGGAAACTGAAAACAATTAAGGATTTCTTTATTCCTTCCAACTTTAACCATGTGATTGATGCAGTCAGGTCTGTGGCTGGATATGATGAGGAAACAAATCAATACAAGACTCCATCCTTGGCCCTCAAACTCGGCCATAGCCTCAGAAAGCTAGCAGATATTCTTGAATGTGACTCAAAAATGGAGCATTGTGTTGATGAACTATTTATTAAAAACCTCCAACGAAGCCGGCTGCTTTTTGAGAAGAGGTGGGACGTCTGTGTTTCTTCTGCTGCCCTACAGACCCTCCGGCAAGCCAAGTGGAACACTCCGGACCTGCTCCCTCTGACTGAGGACGTTAGAGCCATGCATGCACATATTGAGGTATGTCGACCTGAATATGTGCAAACCCTAATAAGTGAGCCAACGTCTAAGCATTGGTCTAAACTGGCAGTTTTGACTCTTTGTGAGGTCATCATTTTCAATCGAAGAAGGGAAGGTGAGGTTTCAAAGATGCCACTGACAGCCTTTACCTTAAGAAGTAAGACTGGGATCCATTCTGACATTGCTCTGGGACTGTCCCAACTTGAGAAAAAGCTGTGTCAGCATTTTCAACGCATTGAAATTAAAGGGAAAAGAAGTCGGAAAGTGCCGGTTCTTTTGACTCCTGAAATGATTGCTTCGATGGAGGTGCTGGTGGAGAACAGAAGGGCCTGTTCCATCTCTGACCATAACCCATACTTCTTTTCCCGCCCGGGCGCAGACACCCACATCAGGGGATCAGACTCCCTACGCCAGGTAGCCAAAGAATGTGGTGCGGTGCATCCAGAGATGCTATCCTCAACCAAACTTAGAAAGCACATAGCTACTATGTCTACAGTTCTCAATATGAAAGAGAATGAGATGGACATACTTGCCAACTTCCTCGGCCATGACATTCGCATCCACAGGCAATATTACAGACTACCAGAGGGGACACTGGAGCTGGCCAAAATCAGCAAAGTGTTGATGGCCATGGAGCAGGGAAGAGTGACGGAATTCGAAGGAAAGAGCCTCGACCAGATACAAATTGAGCCTGAAGGTAATTCTTGATATTATTAAAATATGTATGATTTTTTTCCCCTAAAGGCCACTTGTATTTTTATTTTCTGTGCGACAGGGAGAGCAGTAGAGATCCTCTCACAAACGGACGGGCTAAAAGAAACTTCAAGCGGAGAACCTTCAACCATTCATCCAGATGCACCCCATGGTAGTGGCAGTGCCCCTTCTGGTAAGTGTACCAGGTGGGGGATTACAGCCAGGCTGCTTGGTCCTCACCCTGGGAGTGTATATTGCTAATATATTTTTATTTCTCTCCCTAGAACGTGTAAGAAAGCCATGGTCTGCATCTGAGGTGAAGGCTGTGGAGAAGACCATGACACCTTTCATACAGACTGGAAAGGTCCCTGGGAAGTCTCACTGCCTGGCCTGCATTAATGCCTCACCAGATGACCTTAGACATCGGACATGGAGTGGCATTAAATTCTATGTCAAAAATAGAATCACTGCAATTCGAAAACAAAATCTAAAATAAAATTCCTTTAAAATAGTTGTTTGGTTTCTATTGACTGTTTTGTATTACTTAAAGTCTTGGTAAAAAAAGATTATGTCTATGGGTCCCATTCTGAACGGCCCTGTCAAAGGGACCCACCAGGTAACAAAAACGTGTATGTGTGTGTGTGTGTGTGTGTGTGTGTGTGTAATGTAAATATGCAGTAGGACTAACCTTTCCTGAACTTCTCGGCCTGCTCTCTCCACTGCTTCACCTCATTCTCATTAACCAGCCTGCAATAGAGAAACACAGCATTAACGACTCAAAGCGGCCTTCATTAAACAATAAGACGTTTGGTAAAAAGCAGCAGCAGCTCAATCTGAAACGTCGGGTCTTTTCTACATTTAGTTTGGGCCTAATCAAGTCACTTCTGAATCCCTGATTGTGCTGAAGCTGCGACGTCCTTTAAGCTGAAGGTTAACATGTTATTGCAAAAGTAGTGAGCTGCAGGATTTAAAACACACACAAGATTAAACTTAAGCCACACAGGTTAAAGGTTTAGTTTAAAACAGGGATGCAGTACCTTCATGAGTACAATTATCTCTGGGAATTCATAAAACTAATACAACTGAAATTTAAGATTTCTCATTTCTCATTTCAGCAATAACAAAATTATTTCACAATTAAACATTTTAGCGATTGCTTCAACAGTCAAGAATCAAAGTCATAGTGTCTTGACTTTTTGAGTGAAATCATGAATAATATGTAATTGCTGTTAATTCTATAATTGATTCCTGTTTATAAGCTTGAAATAAATCCAATTAATCAATATCCCACTCGTACAAGCTTCAATGCTAACCCGGTGCTAGCAAAGGTGCTATACTCTGCGGTGGTGAGTTTTCAGACTGATAAAGTTGCTGGTGTTTCTAGTAGTAGTAGTAAGTAATCTTTATTTATATACCGCCTTTTCACTGCACATCGGAGTCTCAAAGCGGTTTACAATTGTTATTTTTGGGAGTGGGGGTGCCAGAACAGGAGGCACATGCCAGACCTATTGTACATATTTTTAGTGGTAGGGGAAACCGGAGCACCCGGAGGAAACCTACGCAGACACGGGGAGAACATGCAAACTCCACTCAGAAAGGCCCTGGTCCAACCGGGATTTGAACCCAGGACCTTCTTGCTGAGAGGCGAGAGTGCTATCCACTCAGCCACCGTGCTGCCCACGTGTTTCTACGTGTTTGTTTTGGACTCACCTTGTGACAGTTTAACACACCGTACAGTCAGATTCACTCTCGTCACTCTAGTTCACTTAAAAAAACTGCCAACATATGCTAACCGCTAAGCTAGTGGCTAAGCTAAGCGGCTAAGCTAGACTTTGGGAGATCACCATGGCAACACGAGCTACACAGTTGTCTGCTGAGTAAAAGTCTACATGGTTTCAACCTGACACCAGCAACAATATCAGAGCATCCCTGGTTTAAAACATTGTCAGACACATTGATATTTGAGAAACCAGGTTATCAAAGGAAATGTTGGGTATGTAAACGGAAGAATCTTCAGAAAATTGAACCTTGAATGTCCTTGGAAGCTTTGGCTGCAGGAGAGAAATGTTTTACTGTTTATTTTAAAGCCAGAGAAGAACCAGCACCGACAGACGAGGATAACGGAGCGATTTCATGAGACGAAAGAGAAGAGTCCTTTGATTAAAACTGATCCATAATGTACAGTACATGTGCTTCTAACTGTCATTGTCTGAATAAGTCTCTGCTCTGATTGTTCCATTGGTCCCTTTGGCTGTTGGGCGCTGCCACTTTCTAAACATCGTCTGGTGATTTTAGTCCTACATCGAAGAGGAAAGAACAAGATGTATTTCAGTGATCTCACAATGGAGAAATTCAGTTTGATTAATATACGTTTACGTTGGAATATTCTGGAAACAACAGTGGGTCTGATCTTTCTTGCTTTTTTAGGGATATACAAGAATAAATTGTATTGTATTATATTGTTCATGGTTTTACACTGGTCCAGACCAGAGCAGACATCAGTGGGAGTCATTGGAACAGGCCTTGAGGACTCAAACCCACAACCTTCAGACTCATAGGCCAAAGCTTTTCCAGCTGAGCCACTGTCGCCCCAGTTGCCAGTCACTGAGTAGTAGTAGTTGTAACGAGTATTTATTTCAAAACTACTTTACTTAAGTGCTTAAAGCCGACCTACAAATCAGGACCGGTCCAGTTTAACCTCGCACACATCATTGCAAAAACAAAATCATGTGTTCATTTCTTGGGTCGCACGTGTATGTCAGTCCTCAACACCACTTGTAATGAGTAACGACCACGTCTACCGCTGTTTGCACAGTTGTTTTAAGGTCCCACCAAGACGTGAGACATACTATGACCCATTAAGAGGCACGCAGCCAAAATAACACAAGAAATTCACTTTAAACATTCTTCTGCAGGCATCATTTACTCTCCAACAGTTTATGGAAAAACAACAAGCTGCTGGCAAGACGGTAAAGTGAGCCATGGTTCTGGAGAGTTGTGATGGATCGGCTCGGAGCGGTAATGGACAGAGCGGCTCAGAAGTTACATCCAAGCACAGTATTTAACACCGCTCTGGTGTCGCTGATTGCACAAACAAAAGAGGCCTGAACGAGAGAGCGGGGCACGAGAGAGAAGAAGCCAGCCACGCTACACGGCTATACCTTACAGCGCTAAAACCTCTCAGACTAAACACATATACATCACGGAGCCTGGACCATAGACACAGAAATAACAAAGTGGAGAAAAGAAAGCATAACTGGCTGTGAGAGAAGGATATATGTGCTCATTTACACACATTACTTTGAGTTTCGTACGTTTACATAGAGCTAGTTTCCCAAAGGATAGATTCTTCATATGGCCATAGCTTCTGGGCTGGATACGTGCACAATGTGTCACTTTGTGCAGTGTCACAGAATATTACAAACACTTTCATAGCTGCATTTGTTATAGTTTAGAGCAGGGGTCTCAAAGCGGTTCCAGAAAGGGCCATGTGGCTGAGGGTTTTACTTCCAACACTTCCAAACTGAGCAGGAGCACAGATGACTCCACCCATTTCCTCAGGTGAGTCCAGTTTTAACCTGAAAATTTGAGGAAATGGGTGGAGTCATCTGTGCTCCTGCTCAGTTTGGAAGTGTTGGAAGTAAAACCCGCAGCCACATGGCCCTTTCTGGAACCGCTTTGAGACCCCTGGTTTAGAGGAAAAGCATTGTGCTTCCAAACCAATACCAAGACTGAACTAACAACTAAGTACTGGATATGCGACATGTGCAGCTAGTGCCATGCAGTGGTAAAGACAGAGTTCACCTGTAAACAGCACACACACAAACCATGGTTCACTTTCAAAACATTATGGAAAAAGTGCTTTGTTTGGTGGTTTCACAAGTCTACAGTTGAAGTATGTTTGCCCTAAACAGTTTTCCCTAAACAGTTTTCCCTAAACAGTTTGCCCTAAACAGTTTGCCCTAAACAGTTTGCCCTAAACAGTTTGCCCTAAACAGTTTGCCCTAAACAGTTTGCCCTAAACAGTAGGGTCACCTAAATGGTCTGGTTCACTGAAGTGTGAACTTGTTACTTCTACTTCTTTGCCTTTTTAGTGTCTTTGCTCCCCATAGCTCCCTGACCAGTCTCTGATCACTTCCATCTCTTCCATGCGCCTGAACTTACATGCGCCTGAACTTACATGCGAATGATGTTCTTTACGCTAAAGTTGTCGAGTGGAGCCAGATCAGGGTCTTCTCCTTTATCATCTTGAAGCACAATCTGTTGCAGGATTCGGTCCAACAGCTGCCAGTGCTGCAAACCACTGCGTTTATCTGCAACAACACGGAAATAGATTAAATAAGATGTCATGTCGTTTTCTACACCTTTATTAATCCATTTTTGGGTCGGGGGGTGACAATCAGAGCTGCCCTGTCTCATTGCACCAGTCCCTCTGAAGGTGGTGGGCTTCTCCGTCATCAACTAGATGGCCTTGGTCTTCCAGTGGGGGCTTCAGGCAAAGTGGAGTCAAGTGTCTTGCCCAAGGACACAACGGCAGCAGACATCAGTGGGAGCAGATGACATGGGACGTGGTGGGCTCGAACCCACGACCATTAGGTCCAAAGACCAATGCTCTACCGACTGAGCTACTGTCGCCCCTTAAATTAAGATCAGATATTGATCCCACAGTCGGGAAATGTCTGTCATCGTTGCAGATTACAGCAGAGAAAGAAGGAAATAAGACTCAGACGCACACATCAGAGTCTGTTGTTAAAGATAATAGACAATAGAAATAAAATAAGATAATAAGATGGTAAAATAGAATAAAATGAGGTAATTCTGGAGCTATAATTGCACTTGGTTCATTTACAGATGTGTACATTGTATTGTACTTTAGCAGCGGAGAATAAGAGCAGAATAAACATCAGTAATAATATCAACGGGTAAAGTGACTAAATGACTATTGAAATATCATCGGACTCAGCAGTTCTTGTTCAAATCAGACTAAATGTCAAAGCTAGGCTAATGCTAACAAACTGCTGAACACTTACAGGGCATCTGCAGGCAGTGCTGAAGGATCGACAGGAGGTGAGGGTACGAGTCCGAATGGTTCAGCTTCTTCTTGATCAACTCAAACATGGCACCAGCACTTTTGGTATCCACATGGTTCTAGTAACAGCAGAGGCAGCCGTCAAAGCTCCACATTTCCTTTATGCAGTAGATATAACAGCTTTGGAACGGCAAACTGCAAACTTACCAAGTCAAATCTTTTGGCTAATTCAGAGTCGTCCTCATTTCGCACCATCTCAAAAAAGTCCAAATGTCGGTCTAGCGTCGCGTTCTCATGTTCTCTGAGTTTGTCGATGACCGGCTGGATCCCCAACATCAGGAACTCGTACCTTAGATGAAGCCGGAACTCAAGGTTGTCCTAAAAAGAAGAGTCATAAGTAAATATTGTATGCATTATTAAACCAGCAATCTCTGAGCGGATTGAAATGATAATGGTGTTTATCCTCAGACACAAAGCCAAATGAGAGATTACATGTGTAGAGGTGAAAACGTGCACAGGGCATCTTTAAAGACCTTATGACGGGTTTTAAAAAAAAAAATAGTGGATATCAAAATTGCATGAAAATGTTAATTTGAAAGAGATTCCGGCAAAAAAAATCCTATATTTTATAAAAAGAACGTGTTTTTCATGAATTTAAGTTGTCTATGCTCTAACCTGTGTGTGACGTCATAGCGGGTAACGCCCATGCATTGAAAACCATGGATCTATGCCACAGGACTGCCTTTTCTCTCTTCTCTCCACTGATGCCCAACACAATACTGCCCTCTACAGGTGACAATTGATCACTACACATAAATTGCCGTTTTGAGAAAAAGTGTCCGAAGTGGGATTTGAACCCAAGTGTCTGGATTGGCAGTCCATCGACACAACCACTGGACTATCTCAGTGACAACGAAGAGTTATAATCTAGTATTTATGTGAGACTCGCTGTACACGGCCTTGTCATCTTGAATATCCGCGAAAAAAGAACGAATACCAAATTGTAAACAACTTACAGCGTTGAAACGTACCCGTTCTGACGTCACCAAGGGCTGTGAAGTTTTTTCGTTTCTAAGGGCGTTGCTATGGGGTTATTTCGATTTGGGGGGATCAGACAAAAAAAACCAACTGATTTTGAAACCTTTAGTAGTTCTCTTCTAATATAAAATGGTATTAAAACTGTATTTCTAAATAAATCAAACCCGTCATAAGGTCTTTAAATGTCTGTAAAACTGTTTTGTTTAATGTTCTGGTATAACATTGTTTTGTGCATCATGTGTTTGAATGAGAGGGGATTGGATTAATTTAACCAGTGCTTCATCCAATCGTTTTCAAACCAAACACATGTATGTTATTACAATTCTGTGCAAATACTTATCAATACAAAAAGACGTAAATGAATAAAATAAATTCAGTAATAAGTTCTTGCCTCTCCTGCTCCGGCGTTGAGCACGGCGTTGATGAAAGACATGATGGCCGTCTTCAAGCTGACCTCGTCTCTGTAGCGCCCCGTGCTCCTGTCCAGTTCATTTAGAAGAGTCTGTTCAAAACATAGGAATATAGAAATATTATAGAGTAAAAACGCTTCATGATGTCCCCTGAAGAGTCCGAGTTAAAGGAGAAGTGTGTAAAAATGTGGCCCAAAGTGGTACTGCAGCCTCTCCCTCTCTCCCTGACTCAGGTTGCCAGATATGCAGACGAATCCAGCTGGTCCATCAAAGCCTCCGACCAAACACTCTCCATTCACTCATTTACATTCAGACCTAATGTTTTTAGTAATAGGGAACCCGGAGCACCCCGACAACCTACGCAGACACAAGGAGAACATGCAAACTCCACTCAGAAACTCCCAGTTACGACCGGGATTCAAACCCAGATGAGAAAGCTAACCACTCCCTGACTCCTTCCAGCCACCGAGTCTGCCATGATGATATCTTGCCATAAAAATCTTACATATTTCTACTTTAACCTGGCTTTAATTTGTTTTTTTATTAAAGATGTGCTGGAAACAGCTGCAAGTCCTAAGTCGCTCTAAAACAGTTGTTTTGTGCTAAACAGTTTTTATTTTTTCTGCCTGAGATGTGGCTGCAGTACCGTTTTCATAGTTTTGCACTGGTCCAGACCAGAGCAGAGAGGATTCATGGTTTTACACTGGTCCAGACCAGAGCAGAGAGGATTCATGGTTTTACACTGGTCCAGACCAGAGCAGAGAGGATTCATGGTTTTACACTGGTCCAGACCAGAGCAGAGAGGATTCATGGTTTTACACTGGTCCAGACCAGAGCAGAGAGGATTCATGGTTTTACACTGGTCCAGACCAGAGCAGAGAGGATTCATGGTTTTACACTGGTCCAGACCAGAGCAGAGAGGATTCATGGTTTTACACTGGTCCAGACCAGAGCAGAGAGGATTCATGGTTTTACACTGGTCCAAACCAGAGCAGAGAGGATTCATGGTTTTACACTGGTCCAGACCAGAGCAGAGAGGATTCATGGTTTTACACTGGTCCAGACCAGAGCAGAGAGGATTCATGGTCCGAACCAAGTGGATCAGGTAAAAATCCACTGGAGAAATGCTAACTTTATGAAAAATGCTAATAAAGCATTTAGCATTTTACTTTGGACCAGAGCAGAGAAAATGGTCCGAACCAATGGGGTTCGGACCATTTGACCCGTCCTGCTCCACCCAGAGACTACTCCAACTCTGCTGCTGTGACCTGTCCTGCTCCACCCAGAGGCTACGCCACCTCTGCTGCTGTGACTCGTCCTGCTCCACCCAGAGGCTACTCCACCTCTGCTGCTGTGACCTGTCCTGCTCCACCCAGAGGCTACGCCACCTCTGCTGCTGTGACTCGTCCTGCTCCACCCAGAGGCTACTCCACCTCTGCTGCTGTGACCCGTCCTGCTCCACTCAGAGGCTACTCCACCTCTGCTGCTGTGACCCGTCCTGCTCCACCCAGAGGCTACTCCACCTCTGCTGCTGTGACCAGTCCTGCTCCACCCAGAGGCTACTCCACCTCTGCTGCTGTGACCCGTCCTGCACCACCCAGAGGCTACTCCACCTCTGCTGCTGTGACCCGTCCTGCTCCACCTCTGCTGCTGTGACTCGTCCTGCTCCACCCAGAGACTACGCCACCTCTGCTGCTGTGACCCGTCCTGCTCCACCCAGAGGCTACTCCACCTCTGCTGCTGTGACCCGTCCTGCTCCACCCAGAGGCTACTCCACCTCTGCTGCTGTGACCCGTCCTGCTCCACCCAGAGGCTACTCCACCTCTGCTGCTGTGACCCGTCCTGCTCCACCCAGAGGCTACTCCACCTCTGCTGCTGTGACCCGTCCTGCTCCACCCAGACGCTACTCCACCTCTGCTGCTGTGACCCGTCCTGCTCCACCCAGAGGCTACTCCACCTCTGCTGCTGTGACCAGTCCTGCTCCACCCAGAGACTACTCCACCTCTGCTGCTGTGACCCGTCCTGCTCCACTCAGAGGCTACTCCACCTCTGCTGCTGTGACCCGTCCTGCTCCACCTAGAGGCTACTCCACCTCTGCTGCTGTGACCAGTCCTGCTTCACCCAGAGGCTACTCCACCTCTGCTGCTGTGACCCGTCCTGCTCCACCCAGAGACTACTCCACCTCTGCTGCTGTGACCCGTCCTGCTCCACCCAGAGGCTACTCCACCTCTGCTGCTGTGACCAGTCCTGCTCCACCCAGAGGCTACTCCACCTCTGCTGCTGTGACCCGTCCTGCTCCACCTCTGCTGCTGTGACTCGTCCTGCTCCACCCAGAGACTACGCCACCTCTGCTGCTGTGACCCGTCCTGCTCCACCCAGAGGCTACTCCACCTCTGCTGCTGTGACCCGTCCTGCTCCACCCAGAGGCTACTCCACCTCTGCTGCTGTGACCCGTCCTGCTCCACCCAGAGGCTACTCCACCTCTGCTGCTGTGACCCGTCCTGCTCCACCCAGAGGCTACTCCACCTCTGCTGCTGTGACCCGTCCTGCTCCACCCAGAGGCTACTCCACCTCTGCTGCTGTGACCCGTCCTGCTCCACCCAGAGGCTACTCCACCTCTGCTGCTGTGACCCGTCCTGCTCCACCCAGAGGCTACTCCACCTCTGCTGCTGTGACCAGTCCTGCTCCACCCAGAGACTACTCCACCTCTGCTGCTGTGACCCGTCCTGCTCCACTCAGAGGCTACTCCACCTCTGCTGCTGTGACCCGTCCTGCTCCACCCAGAGGCTACTCCACCTCTGCTGCTGTGACCAGTCCTGCTTCACCCAGAGGCTACTCCACCTCTGCTGCTGTGACCCGTCCTGCTCCACCCAGAGACTACTCCACCTCTGCTGCTGTGACCCGTCCTGCTCCACCCAGAGGCTACTCCACCTCTGCTGCTGTGACCAGTCCTGCTCCACCCAGAGACTACACCACCTCTGCTGCTGTGACCCGTCCTGCTCCACCCAGAGGCTACTCCACCTCTGCTGCTGTGACCCGTCCTGCTCCACCCAGAGACTACTCCACCTCTGCTGCTGTGACCCGTCCTGCTCCACTCAGAGGCTACTCCACCTCTGCTGCTGTGACCCGTCCTGCTCCACCCAGAGACTACACCACCTCTGCTGCTGTGACCCGTCCTGCTCCACCCAGAGGCTACTCCACCTCTGCTGCTGTGACCTGTCCTGCTCCACCCAGAGACTACGCCCCCTCTGCTGCTGTGACCCGTCCTGCTCCACCCAGAGGCTACTCCACCTCTGCGGCTGTGACCTGAAGGGCTGTAGCTTTTTAGAATTATCAATTTCATTTTTGCTGTTACTGGACATCTGAATTTCTCTGACGGGGATCAATAACGTATCTATCGATCTAAATGAACATACACATTTTGAAAACAAAGCTCAGTAGTAAGTGGATCGCGTTACCCTCGATCCTCCACAGACCCCGATAGACCCCCCCACAGACCCCCCACAGACTCGTAGCTCAAAGACACATTAAAAAGGACTCATAAGTCTCCTGTGTACTTAGACCGAGGTGTCACGATTTACCACAAAACCCTGGGGAGGAGCGGGTTGGGGAGCGTTGACTCACCGCAGCCGTCCATGACCTCCATAACTCACTCAACCCTCACCTGTCTTTAACACAGCCTCATGTTGACTTACCCCGAGCCCTCCCGTCCAACAAGCGTCGGTCTGAGTCAATGGAAATGACCACGGCTTTATTCGTACATTACTCACATACATTTGTTTTTGATAATCTCGTCTGGCTCGAGTCTGCAGAAGAAGCTGACATTGTGTTTTTACAGATTTAATGACCCTCGTGTTGGCTGTCTTCGCTCCGCAGCCACTTCATACCATTGTTAGCTTTCATTTTAGTTACTGACAAGGGATTGGGGAATGTTAACCCTTTGATGGTGTCCTCCCTCAACCATTTAGATCAGCTTTTGAGTCAGTATATCTGCTTTAACTATAGTCAGTAAGTATGTAAGTCAAAGTTTTACAGACCAAGGGCACCCAAAAGGCTTTACAATGTTATTTTAAAGGAGCAGTGTGTAAAAATCTGGCCAAAAGTGGTAACAGACTCACACCAATAATGACTGCTTTCGTTGGCAACACAATTTTTTTCTAGTAATTCACGTGTGTCAGATCACTCCGCAAGTAGTTCCGGCCACTTTGTCAACCATCTTCTGTCTTTGGGCAATAAGCAGGATGTTGTATAGAACGCTGGTCTTTAATGAGTACCTCCAGGGCAGACGCAGACCCCTCTTCTTCCTGTAAGGGTCCGTTTCTGGGTTGGGGGGTGGCAATCAGAGCCGTCACCCAATGCTTTCGCTAGTTCTATTCCCTGATAATGACCTGTGTTCTAAACATTATTGTACTCTTGCATAATAGATAGAAAACACTATCCCTAGCATAATGTCATCAATTATGCAACTTGGCATTAGGCACGGTGGCTGAGTGGTTAGCACCGGTCGGAACAGGGTCTTTCTGAGTGGAGTTTGCATTCAATCTCCCCGTGTCTGCGTAGGTTTCCTCCAGGTGCTCCGGTTTACCCTACCACTAAAAACATGTACATTATGTAAAATCCTCCAGCTCTGGTCCTGACCCAGAGCATCAATATCTGGAGATAGTAACAGCGCCAGGAAACTGCGGCGAACACTACTCCTGATGGAAGCCTTGGTGGCATCAGGGTCAAATGCAGAGGAGGGATTTCTCTACGGGGATCCATAGAGTGCATATTTATATTTACAACACGTTTTCTAACAATATTGACCTTTTTTAACCAAGAAAGTCCCATTTAGATTTTAGAGTCTCTTTCTCATGAGAGTTCTGGTCCCAGACAGTGTTACTGGGGGACTATTTTACAAGAAACCGGAGCACCCAGAGGAAACCTATGCTGACATCGGGAACATGGAGACTCCCTGGAAGGTGGAATCAAACCCTGGACCTGTGACGTAACAAGTAATCACAGCAGATTAGACCCCGTAATTCACCCTTTCTTTTGGAACCAGAAGCAGCGACAAGTACCATGTGTATCAGTCAGAATATTTACCTGAAAGCGAGTTCTTTCCGCCGCGTACTTCTGGTAGTGCGCCATGGCCTGCAGTACCTTCTTATGTCCACCGGGGACCAGGCACACGGCCCCCAGGATCTCCAGCACCGCCACTTTGGTCTTAATGTTCTCTGTGCGGAGGCTCTGGGAGATGGTGTTGATGCTTTGGGGATGAGCCAAGACGTGAGCGCGACCCTGAGAGTTGTTCATGAGGGCTTTGATGCAACCGATCACCGAGGTGTGAACCCGACTCTCCCCCGTCTCGAAGTCCATGCTGCGCAGGAAGTTCAGCAGACACGTGAGGCCGTCCAGCTCGATGAAGCGAGTTACGAACCTGAGAGAGACGCACAACATTAGGCATTACGGTAGACGCACAACATTAGGTACTACTGTAGACGCACAATATTGGGTATGACTGTAGACACACAATAGGTACAACACTATAGATGCACAACATTGGGTATGACTGTAGACACACAACAATAGGTATGACTGTAGACACACAACAATAGGTATGACTGTAGACACACAACAATAGGTATGACTGTAGACACACAACAATAGGTATGACTGTAGACACACAACAATAGGTATGACTGTAGACACAAAACAAAAGGTATGACTGTAGACCAAGCCCCGGCGATCCAAGATGGCGCCCTATTCAAATGAATGGTTGTGCTCAGTGGCGCTTTGTGACAGCATGGGGGCTGAAAGATTAGCGGAAGTTGCCTGAAACTCGCAAAGATCTATGGGAAACTCTCCTGTATTTGGGCATCGTCTGGTCCTCCCGGTTCTGTGCAGTGGATGATCTCCCATAATGCGTTGCGTCAAACACGCGTGTGTGGGTCTCACACCGGGGCTCACGCACGTGCACAGAGGGGCTCGGCCGCGCTCTGACCAATCAGAGCAGTTCATCAGAGCGGGAGTTAGAGCGAGAGCCAGAGGAGCAGAGTTTGTGGCACTAAAGTGTGGATTTAAACAAAACCGAAGGATTTAAGAAGAAAAAAAGTTCAGGATGACAAGGGACACTAAAATCCCCACAAAATCCGATCTTTATTAAAGCTGTAGGTTCTCCGTCAGCTCAGGTCGAGCTGTTTTAATATGCATTGAGTTCTATGGGGAAAATTTCTGGGTAGCCCACGTAAATTTAGTCTGGTTCAGTCTGGTTCAGTCTGGTTCAGTCTGGTTCAGTCTGCAGTACCACGAGAATCCCCTGAGCACGTGAGTTATTCAGCTACAAGCTGTAATAGGGCACTGTCCGGTTTCCGAAATGTGCTAAAAATAGCTCAGATGACTGCGCATGCGCGCATGTTTCGGACAAACATTGTGTACGACTCGTTGAGTTCTACTGTGTTCTCCACATAAGCGTGTGTATTTATTTGGGCTAAATCATTGAATCATGGTGACAACAAAACACTGCAGTTATGGTGCTTGTCGGAGCGATTTCAGATACTCTGAAAAGGACTATATGAAAGTAACATTCAACCCGTTCGTTAAACCACAACATCGGACCAGACCAGGACCAGACCAGGACCAGATCAGACCAGGTGGGTGCTTGTGGTCGGCAGAATTTCTCTCATGAAAAGGTTAAAAAGGGCACATGTGTTTTCAAAACACTTCGCTGGACCAACTGTGGAGCATCCAGATCCAGTCCTAGCTACGTTTAGCTGGGACTGGACCTGGACCGCTGTATCAGGTCCGTCTGAGCTCTTCTGAATGTAGTTAGCACAAACTTTCTCTTTACACCATTTACCCCCATCAATCCATATTAGTATTGTTTGTCCTAATCCAGAAAGTATACAATTCTCACACCTGAAGAAAGATGAGAGGGATTTTTTTCAACTTTGTGTCTGCTTATTATACGGCTTTGTACCAATTGAACACACAAAATAAACGTCATTCACTACTCATGCCGAAAGGTTTATTTAATGAGTGCAAAGAAAATAGTTCCCAAAGGTTTTCCCGTGGCAGGCGAGTAACAGTGAGGATAGTTAACCTAAAAGCGATCGCTTTAGTCGCATTAAAAAAGTATTTTTGTCATGAAAACCTGAACAGTTAATTCTGAAAACCTCCGTGCACTTGTGTTATGAATGTGTATAATGTATTCTCCCATTAACATTTAAATGTGTTGATTGATTGTCATTTGCGTTTACTGAGTGTGGCTAGCTCTGATAGTTTCTCTCAGAGACAGTGGCGTAACCCGTTGTGATCATGGATTTATTATAATATCAGCTGACTGTAGCTAACTAATGATCAAACTAATTACAAAGTGGATAGTGCAAAAACAACTTGATAAATGGAAGTTAATCACAGCAAAACAAACAAAGAAGGCGCTAGCATTGCAATTTAAATGGCTAGATAATGTTAGCATAATCCTCACCATTATCTTTTTATCAATTCAAACCGTCTACCAGTTACTGGAAGACCACGACATTCAAGCCAACGTTATAATTGGTCTACACTATGATCCCTGATGGTTTGATGGTGGAATTTTGCCCCTGGTTTATCATTTTCGTCTAAAGTGACAAGTGGTATTTGATTCATTTCGGCAGTGTTTGTCCGAAACATGTGGGCGGGAGTTGACAGGCGGCGGGGGCGTGTCTTAGTGACGTCATTTAGATAGTTCGCTATACCCTATCCAGTTAATATAATAGATCCATGCTGTAGACACACAACAATAGGTACTACTGTAGATGCACAACATTGGGTATTACAGATGCACATAGAGAGAGACCACATGGTATTGGACCATCGAGAGAGACCACATGGTATTGGACCATCGAGAGAGACCACATGGTATTGGACCATCGAGAGAGACCACATGGTATTGGACCATCGAGAGAGACCACATGGTATTGGACCATAGAGAGAGACCACATGGTATTGGACCATCGAGAGAGACCACATGGTATTGGACCATCGAGAGAGACCACATGGTATTGGACCATCGAGAGAGACCACATGGTATTGGTCCATAGAGAGAGACCACATGGTATTGGACCATCGAGAGAGACCACATGGTATTGGACCATCGAGAGAGACCACATGGTATTGGACCATCGAGAGAGACCACATGGTATTGGACCATCGAGAGAGACCACATGGTATTGGACCATAGAGAGAGACCACATGGTATTGGACCATAGGGAGAGACCACATGGTATTGGACCATAGAGAGAGACCACATGGTATTGGTCCATAGGGAGAGACCACATGGTATTGGACCATAGAGAGAGACCACATGGTATTGGACCATAGAGAGAGACCACATGGTATTGGTCCATAGGGAGAGACCACATGGTATTGGACCATAGAGAGAGACCACATGGTATTGGACCATAGAGAGAGACCACATGGTATTGGATCATAGGGAGAGACCACATGGTATTATACCATAGGGAGAGACCACATGGTATTGGATCATAGGGAAAGACCACATGGTATTGGATCATAGGGAGAGACCACATGGTATTAGACCATAGGGAGAGACCACATGGTATTGGATCATAGGGACACTTGGCAGACCACATGGTATTGGTCCATAGGGAGAGACCACATGGTATTGGATCATAGGGAGAGACCACATGGTATTAGACCATAGGGAGAGACCACATGGTATTGGATCATAGGGAAAGACCACATGGTATTGGATCATAGGGAAAGACCACATGGTATTGGTCCATAGAGAGAGACCACATGGTATTGGTCCATAGGGAGAGACCACATGGTATTGGATCATAGGGAGAGCCCACATGGTATTGGTCCATAGAGAGAGACCACATGGTATTGGTCCATAGGGAGAGACCACATGGTATTGGATCATAGGGAGAGACCACATGGTATTAGACCATAGGGAGAGACCACATGGTATTGGATCATAGGGAAAGACCACATGGTATTGGATCATAGGGAAAGACCACATGGTATTGGTCCATAGAGAGAGACCACATGGTATTGGTCCATAGGGAGAGACCACATGGTATTGGACCATAGGGAGAGACCACATGGTATTGGATCATAGGGAGAGACCACATGGTATTAGACCATAGGGATAGACCACATGGTATTAGACCATAGGGAGAGACCACATGGTATTGGATCATAGGGAAAGACCACATGGTATTGGATCATAGGGAAAGACCACATGGTATTGGATCATAGGGAAAGACCACATGGTATTGGTCCATAGAGAGAGACCACATGGTATTGGTCCATAGGGAGAGACCACATGGTATTGGATCATAGGGAGAGACCACATGGTATTGGTCCATAGAGAGAGACCACATGGTATTAGACCATAGGGAGAGACCACATGGTATTGGGTCATAGGGAAAGACCACATGGTATTGGTCCATAGAGAGAGACCACATGGTATTGGTCCATAGGGAGAGACCACATGGTATTGGATCATAGGGAGAGACCACATGGTATTGGTCCATAGAGAGAGACCACATGGTATTGGACCATAGAGAGAGACCACATGGTATTGGACCATAGAGAGAGACCACATGGTATTGGATCATAGGGAAAGACCACATGGTATTGGGTCATAGGGAAAGACCACATGGTATTGGTCCATAGAGAGAGACCACATGGTATTGGTCCATAGGGAGAGACCACATGGTATTGGATCATAGGGAGAGACCACATGGTATTGGATCATAGGGAGAGACCACATGGTATTGGTCCATAGAGAGAGACCACATGGTATTGGACCATAGAGAGAGACCACATGGTATTGGACCATAGAGAGAGACCACATGGTATTGGATCATAGGGAGAGCCCACATGGTATTGGTCCATAGAGAGAGACCACATGGTATTGGTCCATAGGGAGAGACCACATGGTATTGGATCATAGGGAGAGCCACATGGTATTAGACCATAGGGAGAGACCACATGGTATTGGTCCATAGGGAGAGACCACATGGTATTGGACATAGGGAGAGACCACATGGTATTGGACCATAGGGAGAGACCACATGGTATTGGATCATAGGGAAAGACCACATGGTATTGGATCATAGGGAAAGACCACATGGTATTGGTCCATAGAGAGAGACCACATGGTATTGGTCCATAGGGAGAGACCACATGGTATTGGACCATAGGGAGAGACCACATGGTATTGGATCATAGGGAGAGACCACATGGTATTGGACCATAGAGAGAGACCACATGGTATTGGACCATAGGGAGAGACCACATGGTATTGGATCATAGGGAGAGACCACATGGTATTGGACCATAGGGAGAGACCACATGGTATTGGACCATAGGGAGAGACCACATGGTATTGGATCATAGGGAAAGACCACATGGTATTGGATCATA